GTATGGAAATATCACAGAAATCCATTAATTTCTATAATTATAATAGCTATATATTTTTTCTGTATTAAGTATAGAGTATAACACTAGCCTATTGAAAAAAATTTAAATGAAGACTGCATTTGCTTTCTCAATAAGGGACTAATTGCAATACTAGTGAGCTTTCCCTTCAACAAAAGTATTTATGTATGATTAAGTTAAATTCCTTTCAGTTTTCTCACTGAAACAAGTTGGTTTCTCTGGGTTAAAATTTGTAATTAACATAGCTGAGAAACACCAATAGTGATAAGAGAAAAACACTATTCAGGAAAATAAACTCTGACTGGGTGTGGTGGTACATGCCTGTAAATCCCAGCTCTTGGGAGGCTGAGGCAGGAGGATTGCAGAGTTTGAGGCCAGTCTGGGGTTCATAGTGAGTAAGTACAAGGCCAATCTGAACTAGTGAGTAGTGAGGCCTCCTATCAAAAACAAGTTCCCCCGCCCCAGGGGCAGAGTTTCATTCTAATGTGCCAATGTTAGAAAGTACAAAAAGCGTCACTATCTGTAAGTGGAATTAGAAACTATAAAGTGAGATAAAAATTTGGCAAAGCATTCTGTGCTTTGATGCACTTACAAGAAGTGTGTGAAGGGGGCCAGGGATTTAGCTCAGTGCTTTCGCAGCCTGCTGCACAAGCCCAAGGTCCCGAGTTCGAGCCCCGGTACCAAAAAAAGTGTGTGAGGGGCGCAGGTAGGGAAAACTGGTGAAATCTTTACTGGCAAGTACTATGTCAAGACAAAACTAGAATTTGGGTATTAAAAGAATAAATTGTGGGGGACATGGCTGTAGGGGGGTCCCCTCCGGAGCAGGGAAAATGCTGGACTGAAAAGCAGGAGAGGAGAAGCCTGAGTAGCCAAGGTGAGCTGGAGCTGCCGAAGTAATGGAGGGGAAAGTTCCAGTCGCAGCGCTGAGAAGCGATCAGCTGAAGAAGCAGCTGCAGACCTCCCAACAAAACCTACAAAGATCTCCAAGTTTGGATTTGCCACAGGTAGTCAGAAAACAAAGCATCAGCTATATCCATCAAACTTGGATCAAGTAAGCCTAAAGAAACTCTTCCAACTCTTGCTCCAAAAACCCTTTCCGGTAGCACCAGCTTTTATTGAAGTCTTTTTTTTTTTTTCTTTTGGTACCGGGGATCGAACTCGGGTCCTTGAGCTTGCTCAGCAGGCGGCGAAACCACTGAGCTAAATCCCGGGCCCCTAACTTTTAAAGAAGATTAAGACAGTGAACCAGAGGAAATGCCTCCAGAAGCAAAGATGAGGATGAAGAAGATTGGAAGGGATACATCAACATCAGCCGGACCAACCTCTTTCAATAAAGGAAAGCATGGGTTTTCTGATAACCAGAAGCTATGGGAACGAAAGGTAAAATCTCATCTTGGAAATCATGATCAAGACAATTAAATGATGTGTTTTGAATTGGGGTGTGGGGTGGGTGTAGAGTTAAAAGGAACAGTTTCCTTTTTAAAAATGGTATAAGGCTATCTTTGGAGCCGCTTTTTCTTTTCCTTTTTCAGTTTTTTTTAAAAGATTGAGTGGTACATTAATGAGAGTTTGAATTTAGAGGTAATTTATGTTTTATATACAGATTTCAAGACATCTGCTAATTTTGTAGTTTCATGTGATTAGTTCCCAAAGGTTACAGATAATAAAGAAATCAGAAATGGTACCTTTTTAAGAACTGCATATTTTTTTAGACACAATTATTAGCACATTAAGAGGGAAGCAAAAAATAACTATTTAAAATTGTCAGCAGTTACTGCTAAATTAACTCCCTCATTACCTAACCTGACTGTCTGGTTCCCAGGAACAGCCTTATAGAGAAAGGGGAAGTATTGTATTGAAAGGAAAATGTGCTGGACTATTGACCGAAAGTAAATTTAGATAAAATTAAAAGTTTTTTTCCTTATGGGCATTTGTTTTGTTATCATATTATTAGGTATTGCATTGCTATCAGTGGATACAGATGCTTAGCTCTTTTACTAAAAATAATTAAAAAAAAATTTCTATGTGAAGTATCCTATTTGAAATAGCCCATTTCACTTTAATGGTCTTGTCTACCTTTATTAGTCTTCAAAGAACAGCCATTTTGTTACCAAAGTAAATCAATATTTTGAATGTGCTTCTCTTGAATTTTGTTTATTAGCTAATTCTTCCAAGCATTTCCACCAGAACTTGAGGCAAATCATAAGGAAGCTGTTTCTTTTAAAATAAAAACCACCAACCAAAAATTTAAGTGTACATACTGTTTAAGTATTTGGCTGGTTTTTATTTTTTAAAAGGTATAACCCCCCCCCCCCAAAATTAACATTGTAGAAGATGGAAGACAATAAGATGCATTTTCTGTAACTTTGTCTACACATTTACATTACTAAGTTGTTAAATCCAATTTGAACTGAACTCACTGCAGGGTTTATTAGAACAATTATACGGTTTAAGTATAGACATACTTCTCAGTGGCCTGGGCATATTGTAGGTACTGAAAATGAAAGAAAATGCATCTTCAAACACATTTCATAGAATTGCTCATCACATATACTATTACATTTGTGTACTATAGGGTGTTTTGTATTTTTGTATTGTATATGGACTTTTAAAAAGTGACAGTTAAACACATCTTTGAAAGCATAGTCACAGACAAAAAAAAATGATAGTGACTTCCTTCCGAATGCCTACAATGTTAAATTTTTAGGCAGCTTCAGGCTATCTTATTGGTGGTAGTTACTTGCTGATCTTTTAAAATAGTAACTCCAGAGAAGAAACCTGTGCATATGCCTAATAAGTTGTTCTTTTACATTAAGTTTAGATTAATCCCCAAGTAAAACAATGGAAATGTATATAGAACTGTTAGTTCTTACATGATTTAATTATACCAAGACACATGAATTTAACTTTTATGTAGGCAAACTTCATTTTTGTTCATTTTACTGTTTGTTAAAATAACATCCCTCTCCTACATACTCTTTTCTTGACCCAAATGAAATACTAATCTAAGGTCAAGATGAGAGAAACGACTGAGATGAATGTCTTTACTAAAATAACCAATAAATTTTGTCAAACTCAAAAAAAAAAAAAAGGAATAAATTGTGGGGTGGGGATGCAGCTCAGTGGCACAAGGCCCTACATTCAGTCATCAGGGGAAAAAATAAACTTTCAAAAGGGAGACCGAGTTGCTTTTTAACTTCTATATGATCTACTCTGGCAGATTCTATACTGCATTGTTTTTATTCAAGTCTGTGATTATTAAAAACAAAGCCAAGACAACAAAAAAGTGCAGCGTTATTTACTACAGCTATCTTTGAGATTTCCCAGTGTCCCTGGAAAATGACAATCTTGACTACTGCTTTATCAAATATTTCACATCAACTCCCAAGTTGACAGCAATACACCATAGTACAATCAAACCATGGTCATATGTCACAGCTTGCCTGGAAGTTCCACATTAAAAGGCAAATTTTATTTCTGGACTGAATAGAAAAAGCAAGTTAGAGCTTTGAGTACTGGGACAGTACACAGATGAGATAAAATCATAGGATATTTAAATCAAATTTTACCTTATTGATAATCCAATCAACTGGTAAGTCCATTCCACCATTCTTTCCTTCCAAATAGTAGTCAATGTATAGTCAATGTGTCAAATGCAGTTACAAAGTAATATATTTCAAGGTTCAGAGGTTTTGTGCTTTGGTCTTTAATGTTACTGTAAATACTGGGGAAATTGAATTATAAAGCTGATGTTGTAACAAAATCAGTAAAAAGTGGATGCTGAAAATGAATTCTTGGCAGTTTCCACTAGGTATATGCTAGGTATTAGGTAAGAGCACATTTTAGGAAGAAAAAAGGTACCTGAGAATTGTCACCTGCTTTCTTCAAATTAAAAATTCATACAGAATCATTTAAACAAAACTTTTTAGGGAGAAATGACCATTAATAGCATAAAATTAATTACTGCCTATGTGCTTAATTTGAATTCTTACAGATTCATAGTATGAATATACTATATACTTATATTCATACTAGTATGAATATTCATAGTATATTCTTCAGATTAAAATTGAATATTCCTAGGAAGTTAATAAAAATGCTAATTTGATATTTCTAGGGAAATATCACTTTATAGATCTCAGTATCTGTACAACTGCTTAACAAGTAGGATTGTCTATTTAACTTTTCCCAGAAATTTTATTGAAAGTATTTTTGCAGAATGTTTGTTATCTTTTACAAAAATATCTGAATGCTGAAATATTTATCACTTAGTAACAAGTCAATAGAATTGTTTTAAGTGGACACAAAAAAGCAACTGTTTTTAAACTTCAGCCATTTCCTAATTAAATGAGTATTCAAAAATCTCTTCATAGTAATTTTTACCTTTTTGCTAGTGTCTTGATCATTTTATCATTGCTGAGTCTTAATATCTGACACCAACAAATGAGAGATTTTTGACTCAATTTTAGAAGTTTCAGTCCATTTTTGGCAGGCTTAAATACAGATGCCACCGCGTGGCAGAAAGGCCTGGGCTGAAGCTGCTTATGTCATGGCAGCCAGAGAGAACTAGCTAGGGAGATACATCTTTCCAGGCCAAACCCACACCCGCAATGACCCATCTCATCTGACACCTCACCTAAGGCAAACCAGCACCCCCATAATCCAATCACCTTACAAAAAGCTACTCCCCCAACTGAGCACATGAGGCAAGGGGTGAGGTGGGGGGTTGGTCCAGATATAAACCATAACAGATAGGGCATTGGAAACTGTTTTTGGTACTGGGGATCGAACTCGGGTCCTTGTGCTTGCGCAGCAAGTGGCGAAACCACTGAGCTAAATCCCCAGCCCTGGAAACTCTTAATGAACCTGTATTTACCTAATGACTTCTGCTACACAACTATTTTGGTAAATTGCCTGTTGAAATTATGTACCAAGTGTTTTATGTTTAAAATAGTAAATAAAATGAGTCTTTACAAAATAGCTTAGAAAAACAAGTTTTCTATTTATTTAAAAATAAGTTTATAGTTACTACATTGCAGGGACAGAAATTCTTACACATACATTCTAGTTTGTATAAAAGGATTCAAAGAATTATGCATCAAAACTAACATAGAAAGTGTCCACGTAACAGTAAAGAAAGGTCCAATCAGTATGTACAAAAAGAAAGGGCACTGCTATTGTGGTGTGAGACTGCTGTTCATAACTTGATATCCAGGTCTGGAAGGAAAACCAAAAACCTCAATAAAGCTAAGTCATTAATTTGCTTTTAACTTTTGTGTTATCATATACAACAGAATCGCTTGTGTTTAACATTACCTTCTGTACAAAATAAACAATTTTAATTTGAAAATGTGTCAGTTTCAACTTCAACCCTCTAGGTCAGTTACTTAAAAATTGAGCTACATTCTACACATGTCTAAATATCCTGTGACAGGATTTAAGAGTTTTCTAAAAGATCTCTTTATAAGACCTGTCTTCTTACAGTTTGAATATGGTCCAAAAATGTAACTGTTTTCTCATTTTATAGTGTATTGCTGTGAAAAATCAACACACATTCTTGAAAGTAACGACAATGTGTGTATACTACATACCATCTTCAAGCTATTTTGTTAGCTCCTTGACTGTAGAAACTCAGCCACACACTATTATGTATTTGGTTTGTGCCATATAAGGTTAATTTCCTGATCAATTTTATCTGCATTAGAAAAGTATTTCCAAACAGCTATCAAAACTAAAAATATATATTTATAGCTCAGATTTTTCTAGTCACTTTTACTCTAGTGTGTACAAGGTCTATCACTGGAGCACACTTAAGTAGTACTTGAGTCTTCTGACTCAACTTCTGATTTTGCAACCTCTTCCTAGGTGCTGCACATAGTTCAAAATGACTTCATTTGGAATGCTAATTATAATGAACAAAAATAGTTTCTTAGTGTGTATTAATTTTAGCTCAGATCACTTGGAAGTTAGAGGTACTAAGGGGAAGTGCAAGGATGGAAGTGAGAAATTGTATACTTTTCCAATTTTAACAGGAAGATAAATCCTCACCTACATTTAACTAACCCACTGCTCAACTTGTTAGAAATATTGTCTAAATAAGTCAGAGGGTAACACATCAGAAAATAAAAGTAATTCTATTGTGACTTAAAATCATACCTCCTCAATACAAGGTGAACATTTATAGCCCTTTTAAATCACTGAAATATCTTGGTCCTTTCAACCTATTCAAACAAATTTCAGGCGAACCAAAACATTCATAATGTTTTCTTTATATAGAAAACAGAAAATCCAAATTGCTTCCAGCTTACATTTGAGAAATATACAGGTAGCTATGTGTGTATAAAATGGAATGTCAGAATTAAACACTGCTAAATGGAGGGACTGATTTGTAACATTAATCATTTTATAATATGTAATTGCCACTAACATCACACAAAATGTTAACTCAATACACTTAAGATATTTGATTAATCTACTATATTCCAGACAAGGGACAGCTATAGAGGCTGAATGAGGGTCTTTTCTCTGTTCACTGTATCTTATGTAGTTAATTTCCAAAAGATACTATATTCAGTCAATTCCATGTAATCTGATGTGATCTAATTAAGCTCACAAACACTCTGGTTATTCTAATTATATGTAAGGAGAAAGACAGTTTTAATAATGACACCAAAGAGTCTTTTGTAGAGAATCTGTGCATTAGAAACAATGCCAATACATCTTAAAATCATAAATATACACAGAAAATAGTTCAACACTGTAACAGCAGACTGCAAAAGATAAAATTTTAAGAAGCTATCTACTGCCAAAGGTTCTCAGACTGTAATTAAACTACCCAGTGACAAAGTTTAAATCTTGTAAGATTCACCTGGGGCTCGAGAATGTTGGGATAGAGAGAACATTAGGGTTGGGGACTTAAGAAATATGTAAAATCTTTCTACATTCCATGCAAGTAACAAATATTTCTGAAACTCTGAATAAACTTGAGTTTTTTACTGCTCATCTAAGACAAGTGCCAGTATTTTCTCTGCCCTTACATACATGATGTTACTATTTTAAAAAGATAATGGTAAAACAAAACAAAAATATGGTGAATTAAATTTCTTAATTCAACTTTTGTAACATATAGAAGCTAAATTATAAAAATATAAAATCTAAATATATCTGGTATTACTAATACATTTTTAAGTTTTTCAGTTACAAATAATATGATCCAAGTCATTTTGCTTTACTAAGAAACCAGTGTCTGAAAATTTCCAAATATGGTAATATATAGTGTCTTCAGAACATTTACATGAGATAGGAAAGATGGCAAATACTCATTTCTGTGCTCCAGAGTTGGAACCCACACACACCACACTAGAGGTTCTGCACTCAGACTGTATGCTCTTCCTTCTGTACACACCTTAAAAACTATACATTTTTTTTACAAAAATGAATTTTATAGTCTATTAATTTTTTTCTAGCACAATGCAGATAACATCAGGAAATTACGTATTTCAAATAGATTGCCTTAAAAGCAACTATTTACTTTGTTTCAAATTTCAAACATACACACTATTATTTTCAATAATGGTGTAACTGAAACTCATTTTTCTATACAACCAAGCCATCCATTTCTGCATTATGAAGTTTAACTACTGAATTTTAATTATATAGTTAAATATATTTGTTAGAAAAAAATAAATATACAAAAAACCTGAAAAATTTCAAATTATTTTTTCAACTGGAAAATCACAGCAATCCAGTCGATCTGGAAAATGGTTTACTTAATTTCACAGGAGGATTTCTGTACAAATTTAGTTACAAACGATCTAAAAAGCCCAAATGCATCACTTTTCATTCTTCTTCAAGACAGTTAAATGATAGTTAACATCCTATCTGAAAGGAGTAAAGAAATAATTATGTAATATATTTTGTCACGGTTCAATTAAAGACTTTATTTTTCTACATCAGAGTCATGCTGATACATATTTTCTCCATTCTTGTTTTTTAAAAATGTAGTATCTGAAAATTTTGGTTACATTTTTGTACCATACCAGTCCTCAGAAAATACTACATTCTTTAAACTTTTAAAAAAATGGACAATAATTTTTAAACAATAGAAATGGTATTTATGTTGGGTTTTAAAGTATAAAATAACTAAGTGTACCATAAACAAATAAATAACTGCTTTCCTTTTCCATAGCAGTACATATAGCAATACATTCTCCTAAGTCATATAGTTATCATTTACAATAGACAACTTAAATTTTACTAATGATGCAAAAAATAATAGAATACAAGGCACAATCATTAAATGGAGTTTTCTTTAGGGTGTATATTGACATACCAGCGTGATAAGGATACCGTAAAAAGTGCAGAAAAACACAATGTGCAATGAGACCACCGTATAAAACATGATTGCATAAAAAGTGATTTGGCCTATTTTAACTTTTAATAATTGAAAATAACCAATCTTTCCCTTAAAATTAAAACTATAAAGTATGACATTTTAAAATTATTTTTATCTACCACTATCTAAAAAATCCTGAAAAAAGAATTTATACCTGGGTAACAGTATATAAGTATGTGTTTGTATATATATTTAATTATATCTATCAATATATACACATACACACACAGACACGTTTCTTTGTAAGCCGTTTTAGCCTATCAGATATGTCTAAAGTTTAGAAATGACATTAATCCAGATCAACAAGTAAACATCAAATCTCATACCTTTTTTCCTGTATTTTCCTTGAATCCTTTAACCACTTAAAACATTTTCTCTAAGACATCTCTGTCAAAGGACCCACCAGTGCATTATTTTCTACTCAGTACCCAAAGAAAAGATATATCTCAGCATAACTCTTTAATAATTTGCTCTTTAGAATAAATAGCCTTTCTAATATTGAAAAGTGTATGCTGTCCTGACAGTCAAAAACAGGCTCTCCACTGCACTGATTTTCAGTCTTTGGCACAATAAACAGAGATTGAGTGATTGATATAAGAATCAAGGTCTGAAAAATTAGACAGTCAAATGTTTTCCAATGTGGATATGTTTCCTTTTCATCAGTATATTTTCTCTTAAGTTTGGCAGAAGTGGAATAAAGCAAAAAGCCTCTTTGAGATAACTTTGTAGGTGAGCATTCTACAACTAAAAGTTTTTAGGATATTAAATGGTGAGAACTTTCTATTTACCTTTAGAGGAAACACATTTCTTAATTTACTGCTACTCTGTGTAACATGTCTTCCTAGGGGCATGACTTCTGTATCAATAAAAATGTACCTTGCTTGGTCAAAAATAATTTTTAACATGAAATGCTCTATCACTAGGAATACTATGTCCTTAAGAGTGTAGCAGAAATGTCTCTTCCATAAATAAATCAGGAATTCAATAGGTCCTCACTATCTTGTTTCAAACACTGAATGAAATGAATGTGGAAATGCATAACCTATCTAAGGGCAATAAATAGCAAACATTTAAAATATATATGTATATATTTATATATATTCATTTAAAGAAGTGAAGTGTCTTCTAAGATTTTTCTTTTTTTTTTTTTTGTAAGTCAAATCATAACGTTCCCTAATCCACCATAGCAGCAAGGAAGCAGAAGACTTAGATCTACTTACTCCTTAACTGTACCTGCTTTATAGATTTTGAAGTAAAATATTTTGGTTCAGGTTACCAACCAATTAAATTAGCTTTTGCTTTTTCAGTCAACTTTCGGACTCGCCCTCTACTAGAAGTTCCAAAAGTCAAAGAGGTGTCTTCAAACAACAACTGCCTTTGCTCCTCTTCAGAGTCATCCTCGTTATAGAAAGCTGTCCTTCGACCTTGGTTTCGAGTTCTCATGTGAGGTTCAGAGGCTTTGAGTGCTTCAAACTCTTCTTCTTCATCTATAATAGGATCATCTGTCTTTTTTCGGTTACTTCTCCTTAGTACTTTAACATTGGCAGGAACTAGGAGATCTGAATCTAGTTTTTGTGTTTTTATCTTCCTTTTGGGTTTTCTGCCTCCCCGACTCTTTTTCTGTAGCAAATCCTCCTTAACAATATTAGTTTCAGGCAGAAAATTGCCTGTTGAAGAAGGAATCACTTCATCTCGGTTGGAATGCAAATTATTCTGCTCTGTATTTTCTGATTTTGCATACTGTGGTTTTTTGGGCTTTCGTCCCCTTTTCTTGTGTATCACTTCACCACTAGTGGTATTCACATCTCCCTTGGGTTTTCTTCCAGGACCCCTCTTCACAAGTTTTGATGGCTGTCCTCCATGGCCATTTACTTGAATGGTTCCAGGTACAAGAGCATTGTTCTTATAATCTCCTAAAAGGGAAAAACAACACATTTACTATGTGGAACTCTTGTGTGACCCTCAAACTAGATACTGGAATATGTAATGACATAATTCAGTTTTGTTTTGTTACTAAAATAAGAAAAAGAACTGACCAAAGGGTAACAGAAAAAGATCCATAATAAAAGTTAGTAATGACCTCTGGAGAGAAACAAAATTCAGAGCAAATAACCTAAATTAATACTGTAATTGATGAAAGCTGAGATTAACAAAGGTATCTTTCACTTACTACCTTTACTATACATTCAAATGCATGAGTTTTGTTTGAACCATACAAAATGATGTTTATTTGCATAGTTTAACTCGTAAAAAGGGGTTTCCTTGTATTCCTTCAAGCAGTTCAATTATGAAAAATAATCTTATTACTCAAATTCAGGACTAATTCATAAATCTGGATAAATAAGCACATTATCCCTTGCTTTTTTCTAATCATTTAGTGAAGAGGGTGAATAAGAGATGATCAAGACAAAATTAATTCTCTTATTTGACACCCTTTTGAATGTATCTATGATAGAAGAGTGAAGAGTATTAAAATAATTTGTATCAAAGGATGGTAATTTAAACCTTGAAAGGTATGAGAGAGCAGGAAAAAGACATTCCAAGGAAAGAAGAATGGGACAATGATATCCAGGGACTTTCAAGTGGTTTAGGATGGCTGGAACATAAAAGGGAGAAAAGATAAGAAAATTTGGAATTTTAGGAAAGACTCACAAGAGTGTTTAACAAGCAAAAATAAAAATTAAAATCAGATTTCATATAGTTTGAGCATGAAAGAATTTTAATTTCTGTGTGTGTGTGTACATGGACATTTATACACATATGCTACAGAGAAATGATCAGAAAGATCACTTGGGCTGCAATGGGGGAAGGTGGACTAGAGCTGCTATGTTAAAAAGAAAAATCAGCCAGGGAACTAAGAAAACAGTTCAAGCAAAAAATTATTTATGTCTAAATTAAGGCCATGGAAGAATAGATTTAAGAGCTGTTATGGATGGGAGGCTGCTGTACAGATTTGGGTACTGAAGAGAAGGCTAGGAGGACTCCCCAGCTCTAAGCTCAGGCAAGTGGATAGATCCCAATGCCATTAGCTGAAATAACTTCATAGACATATTTTGGAAGTCATGATACAAAACGTTTATTATTAGACTGTCTTTGGCCCCAATTAATACTCCATGTGGTATATTTTATTAGTAACTGTCTCCATTCTTTCAACTGTAAAACTTTCCAAAAAACTCTGTACTTGGTTATGTTAACTGTAAGGAACCAGAAGTTGTACACTAAAACAAAAGCCTGACTACAGACAACCCTGATGAATTACCATTTAGTGAAGGTCAGTCTGTTGTATTTTATGACCGAACAACAATTTAAAAGAATGCCACACTGGGTTAACTGATTTCAATTTAAATTCTGAAAATATATTTTTTAAGGTGTTGTAATGAACTTTAAAACTAATTTATAATATTAAAAGCTTCTATTTCTAGAAAAAAAATGTTTTTTTCCTGGAACCAGGGATGGAACTCAGGACCTTGCACTTGCAAGGGAGGTGCAGCACCACTAAACTAAATCCCCAGCCCCTGTGTGATTTTTAAGCAGGCAACCCAAAAAGTGGAGACAAAGGCTAACTCCAACAAAAGCATCATTTGTAAGAAAAATATGCTGTATCTGGAAACATACCAGTTAGCATCTCACCCTGCTCAATGACAGCTGATGACTTTGAAAGAGTGGATGCCTTTGAGAGTACAGACGACTTCATTTTACGTTTAACTGGCTTTTCCTTTTCCACGTTTTCTTTTGCAGAATTGTTCTTATTGCCATGACTAAAAGTGGCTTGACCAGGACTTGAAAGAGTATTCAAGGCTTTGGAATGTTTCACAGAATTCTCTAGTACTAAAACACATACACAAAAGATTAAAAGCTAAGATTTGTTGACCATAAACAGAAATAAAAAGTCCGAGATTGTTTCTGATCTGAATTGCTTAAATTAGCCAAGAGGAGAAATTCTATGAGATGCTTAAAGCTTCCTCTGGAACTATACTTACTTACTTTCATTTTTTAGTGCTGGTGAACAAACCCAAGGCCTCATGCATACTAGGCAAGCACTCTACCAGTGAGCTGCACCTACGGCCCAAGATAGCTACTTTTAAATAAGAAAACAGCATACCCAACTATAAACTATTAACTGCAGCACTTGTAAAGGAACAGTATCTGCAGAAAATTGCTAAAACGCATGGCAAAGTAAAAGCCTAAACAACAACAACAACAACAACAACAATCCACCAAACATGTTTCAATTGAGAAACTGTAAGTCTTACTTGTTTTCCCTGGTGTTGTAGATGTATTAGCTTTTGAAATAAAACTCTTGGCTGCAGCTGATGAAGTAGATGGTTGCTCAGTAATGACAACTGGATCTACAACCACTCGGTTGCTTCTCGTTCGAACCACAGAAGTGGATTCTGTTTTACCATTTATCTGAGCAGCATTATGTCTTGGTGGTATTGATCGTGTAGGAGTGGAGAGTGGAGAGGTAGAGATTTCTGACTTTAGCTGCGGTTTTAAGATTCTTTTTTTCCTCTCGGGGCTGTAAGGAAGATCACATTGTCAATCATTCTTATAGGTCTAAATAATTAAAACACATTATAATACTGCTGAATTCAATATACTATTATGAAATATGTTAAAATATGAGATTTGTAGTGGATTTCATATGGTTGTGAGCCTTTGAAAAGTGAATTATTTAGTGAAGGATCACCATAAATGCTACAGTTATATGACAGAAAGCATGATGCCATCAGTATCCTAAAAATGCTGTTTTACTTTCTAGATTTAGCAGTTTGAATTTATGCACTTACACTAGTAAAGCTTTAGTTTAAAAGATTAAAAATCCTCCACATCAAAGGAACTTGCATGTCAAATATATCATTCTGCAATATAGGGAATAGTAAAGGAAGTATTAAAAAACACCAAGTTCTATCATTTAGATGACAAAGTTACAGATCAGTTACGTAAATAAAAAAATTACATACCTGGATGCAGCACTACTGGACATAGAACTGCTTCTGTTTCTTTTCTTCCTCCTTTTGGTTAAGGTATTTCTTTTATGAAAACGAAGAGCAGACTTATAATCTGATAAAACTGAACTAATGTGTTCTTCAAAGAAAGCAGATAGGCGCAAACTCATGCTGTAAATCTATGGAAAGAAAAACACCACAAAACTGCATTCAAATATTCTACAAAGGAAATGCCTGCTCAGTGAATACTGAAATTTAAGTATTTTTCTAGTAAAGTGTTTCTAGAATTTAAACATTGCTTTTGATATTCCTTTCTCCCAATCTCTTCTAAGACCTAAACTAAAACATTTTACAATTATTTTTTAGTTTAGATTAAGAATTTTTCAAGTGTTGAAATTCTTAAAGAATAAAGTTTTACTCTGAATTCAGATGGTTCATGCAGACCAAACTCCTGATTGTGAACTCTATTTACAATCTGTACACAATTACCTATTGAACCACTATACATATACATCAAGATAAACAAACACCCTAAACATCAAAGAATGACAGCAGTTATTTCACAGAGGACACTGAGAAGGGGCAGTAGGACACTATGTTAATTAGAAAGTTAATTTTGCTCTCAATTTTATATAAGCAACATGTAGCTATATAGTATAAAATAAAACTAATTATATACCCTTGATCTTTTGCTTGGTGTATATGCTTTGGAATTACTAAAAATAAGCCTGACATCTTTACATAACTCCATCGGTGACTCATAATTTCCCGCCTCTAGAGTTTCTCTAACTGTAGCAAAATCCATTGGTGTGTCAATAATGTCTCTGTAGTCCTAGAGGGGAGAAAACAAGTGGCATTATTATGATTACTATTTCTCAGCACAGGATTCACAAAGGACAAATTCTAGGACGATTAATAAATACTTGTAAAAAACAACAAACGGAAAACTTTATACTACCTATAAATTCTAAAGGCTCAATGTTGACTCATTCAAACACAATTCTATAATATGAGGAAATAAAAACAAAGAAAACATGGGAACATCCCATTTATGTGGAGGCTTTAATTCTATTAACTTCAATTGAGGTTTTATAGTGATCAAGGATCATGAATAGTTGTTACAAGGTCTTCACACTTCACTTCAGAAGGAAAATAAATTGCTTTAAGGTCCCTTCTCTACCTACCTTGCAGGAAGGGCAGGTCCTCTTTATTTGCCAAATACTGTTTACATTATTTGGAATACATAAGAGATGACTGTATTCTTAAAACATTATTTTTTCTAAGTTCAAAAAAGTAAGTTATTTACTTTACAGAAATTTGTATTTTTCTCCCCAAGAATATTACATTTAACAGGAACACTGGAAATAGGGGATGCAGATTTTTGTTCTGGGCTTGTCAATAAATAGCTGTACATCTTGGAGAACTGAACCCAGGTCAACATCAGTAAAATGAGTGGGTTGGACTATAGTTCCAGATCTCTTTCATTTTTTTCTATTTTGATGTCTTATTGTCTTTGAACTTGTGATCTTCTATTATTCTAGGTAAAGGGTTTTTTTTTCTCATATATTATACTAAGGATATATTTTATCATATATTATACTCTGTCAAGTATTTGTCAACTGAGAAAACCGTCAGCCGTTAGCACCCCTCTCCCATTCTATGTATTCTCACTCTGAAATTTGTTAGATATATTTTGGATAGTCTCATTCTACCCACCATTATCAATCTCTTTCAGACTTTTCATCTCTTTATTCTGTGTACAGTATTCTATATAATTTCTTCAGATCTCTACACCAATAATCTCTTCAAAGATCTTATCTGTCTGTAAAGCTGACTGGTAAGTTTTAAATTCAGTGATTTTTCACTTCCAGAATTCTATGTAATTGGTTTGAATATGCTTTACTCCACTTTTCCCTCAAATAAGATCTTTTCTTCCTTCTGTTTCTTAATTCCTTAATTTACTACTTAACCAAAATGATGTACCCAAGTTTAATTGGCAGCAGTTCTTTGCTTGATGATATACAGACTAGCAATCCCTATACTGAATGTCTTTTTTGGATGAAGTGTATTATTTCATAATACACCCCCCCCCCCTTTATGAGACAAGGTCTCACTATGTAGTCTGGGCTGGCTGCAGTCACAGGAATCCCCCTGGCTCAGCCTCCCCAGTGCTGGGATTACAAACTTCTGCCACCATACCCTGCTACCTCACAATAATCTATTATCTCACATTTTTGGGGAAGGGCATGCATAATTCCATTTGTTGTTCCTGTTGTCACATCTATAGATTACTCTGTCATATAACTGGTGAATGTTTTTTTGGTAGAAAGAATTATTCTATTATTTTTACTCTTCTAACTATGGCCCAAAGCTTATTTTTATTTGCTATTTTCTTAGAGAAGCTCAGAACACAAATATCTACAAGCAGTGGATAAATTATAAGTTAATTTTTGAAATTATATAACTGAGCTTGCAATAAACAGAAGAAAATTCATAGGTTCTTAAAAAAAAACAACAAACAAACCCAGAATACTATATAACATCAGCTTGGTTGTTCTGGAGATGTTTTGGAAGATGAGGTTCAAACTAGCCTAATTTATCACATGGCCAGAATTAAATATTTATCTTACACATTCAAGATTCTATTTTTTAAATGACAAGAAGTCATTTTATGATATTTACCAACTGGTATTTTTGTATTTTTATCATTATGCCAGAATACATACATTAAAAAGATAATGAAGTCAGAGGATAACAACCTAGGTTATACCACTTTTAAATTTTCATTTGAAAACAAGAATATTACTTAAACTATACAATCCTCAATAGCTTTTAAATAAAATAGTCCCCCGAGGCTATATTTTGGTTATTACTATGACTACATGCAAAAATATCTGGATGCTTATTCAACTTTTTACAATGCATTCCATAAAGGTTATATATAATACCTGAATATACATAATAATGCCACCCTACATCTTACGCAGTTTGCCACCATTTAAAATTATTATTTATATACTCTCATTTCTATAATCTTATAAAGTAGGTATTATTTTTTTCTAGATAACGGTGTGTATGGGAAAAAATAATTAGTAAAAATTACAGCCAGATGGAAAAACTAAGTGACTAGCTCAAAATCACAAAACTTGTTGGAGTAGAGCTACGATAATTAACCTAATTCTTTGAAGATTTAATTCAGGGCTTTTTTGCATTTTACCACACTATTCAACTTAAAACTATATAACCAAATGGATAGTGAGAACACATATGAAATAATGAAAATGAACCACAGTCAATTTTAAAAAGTAGTTAACTAAGAGGTAAGGAAATTATTTTGAAAGATACTTACTGGATATTCAAGGAGATCTACGGGCTGGCGGAAAGGCTCTGAATCTTCACACTGAAATATGAGATTTAACAATTCTTGACATTGTTTCTTCCATGCTTGAATATCATAAGACTGAGCTCTGTTACGTAATCTCCTTCTAGGTTGATGATCCTGAAATAAAAATGTTTAAATATATTAATAAAATAGCATATATACAATACAACTGATACTTTTAATCCAATTTTATATAATTCGGTACAGGTTGAATATTCCTCCTTCCTGATATACTTAGGACCAGAAGTGGAATATCTGTATACACTTTACTGGCTAAACATCCCTAACTCAAAAATCTGAAAACAAAGATACTCTAAAATCCAAAGGTTTTGGAAAGTCAGTGCTCAACGTTTTAATTTTGGATTTTCAGATTAGGGATATTTAACCTATAAATATAGTAATTTGAATAATAAAAAACATTCACCTTCTTATGAAAAATATTCATTTTATGATTCAAACTGACTTGAAAGTAATACTTAATCTGCCTTTAAAACTGCTAAGAGTGAAAAAGAAGCTCTTAATACATTTCAATTTATATAAAGTACCTCTGCAAAAGCACAAACATTACCTTCCTTTTTCGGGTAGAAGTTCCTGGCACATCAGCATCCTTCTCTTCTTCCTTTGAGGAAAGAATGTATCAGACTTATAAAACATTCTAGATTTCATTATATTCAACATTATACTCAAACCTGTAATATATACAATACATATATAGACTGGAGTTCTTTACTAACTAGTTAAAATTATTCTTGTAACAGCTTTTGTTTGAAAACTAGTATGTAAATTTTATATACAACATAATGCCAATATAGTAATCATAATGAAATATTACGTACCTCAGAGTCAGACAATACTTTCTTCTTCATTGAATTGTAAAGTGGAATTATGTTGTAACACATCTGATCTCTAAATAAAAATTAAATGGTAATACATAAGATCAGAGCCTTGAGATTTGTTTCCTTCAATATCTCTTCTTAAAACTAGATTTTAAGATAAAAGTTGAAGTAAAAGATTTTCTCTATTTGTCGCCTCCAACACCTTAGGCACACACCTTTGACTCGTTCTGCTCTTTCCCTCAGGTATACAGTAGAATAAATAGAACCTTCACTGTGGTCTATTTCATTACACCAAACCCCAGCCTCACCACCTTCCTTCCCTAGTCTTGCTCACTCACTGCTATGCCTGGGATGTCTTCTTTTACTCCTTAGTCTTCAAGATAAAGCTAATATACTTTCTCTATTTCAATCCTTTCGTTCATTCTTAAATGTAATTTTCTAAGATTCTGTCCTTAAGTCATTTTCTCTTGACATCATCACCTAAAATTGTAGCTCTAATCTTAATGACTTCTCCCTACTTTTTTCTTTAAATAGCATATAATCCTTATAGTATTTGCAATTGTCAGTTTTCAGTTCTACCCCTTGATTTCTCCCTAAAATTCAATTAGTGGTCACAGTGGAACTCCTGTGAGTTCTATCCTCTAATATCTCTTGACATCTGTGCTTTTCTCATTTCTGTAAGTTATACCCTATCACCTTTTTACTTAGTCAGCTGTAAACAGCCAATCTATTAATGCCTTTTGTCCCCTCTTTATGAATTCGTATTAGACATCTCAGTAAAATTAATATTTTTAAAGCATAATGCACAACGTATTATTTTCAGGCTAAAACATTTTTTTGGGGGGGTACTGGGGATCGAACTCGGAACCTTGCGCTTGAGAGGCAGGTGGCGGAACCACTGAGCTAAATCCCCAGCCCCTAAAACACTTTTAACATCCCCTAGTTGCTAAAGATCATATTTTAAAAAATCTAGTTCCTTAGGCTGGCACTTGAAGCCTTCCACGAGCTGGTCTCAGATTTACAGTACTATATTCCCACAATTTACATGCGCATATTCTCTACTTCAATTTAAATTACAAAGCACTAAGTAACTCTACTTTTCTACTTCATGGTACTCCTTACTCCTGGAATGGCTTTCTTTTCATCTAACTTCTGAATCCATCAGTATCTACTTTTTCTGTTAACATTTTAACATACTTCTCCCATGTACCTAAACCTGCACTATCATACACTATCCTCATCTAAACCTCCTACAGTTTGCATTATTCATCATTTTCCTTACATTATAGCATCTTTATGTTTATCTATCTCACGAAACTGTATTAAGAGGGTAAAAAGTTTTTTCTATCTGCAAATATTTATTGTATCATTTTGTATCTGTTGCCTGAAATTTTGCCAAGTAACTAAAAAAAGTACAATATTAAAATATTCAAGCTATGTATGTCCTACCTTGAAAGTGACTGTCAGCTAAAAATAATTTTTTTTTTGGTACCAGGAATCAAATTCAGGGCCTTGAGCTTGCCAGGCAGGCACTGTTGCCACTGAGCTACTTCCCTGGCCCTAAAACTGATTTTTAACAAATAACATACACCTATGAAATCCTGGAGATACTTTTTAAAGATATGTAATATAAACTCTTTGGGTATTACATTAATCTGCACTGCAAAAGCATTTCAAAATAACTATTCGAAAGAAATGCATTTTCATAGACTATTCCAAGTGTAAAAAGTTTTCATCTAAATTATTTCACTGAAACAGAATTTATAATGTGATTCTACAGATTCATATCTCTTTGAAAAAAAGATACACACATATACATTTCTCACACTTTTAAAATTATAGACAGAAGAGTTTCCTGAGGGTAACTGATTCTTGATTATTAACTTCCCTCGAGAGAGGCAAAAACCTAGTAGTAAAAGCCCCCAAAACTATTCGGAAACTAACATTTCTTAGAGAATAAGGTAGTAGAAGCTGAGTAAGCTTTTAAAATACGTTGTTTTTTCACAGGGTCAGGGATGTACCTCAGTGGCACTGTGCCTACCTGGCAAGTACAAGGTCCTAAATTCAATCCTTGGTAGGGTAAAAAAATAACATTGCTACTTTTTAACCAGAAAAAATTATCTAATATAAAAAGGAACATTAATATGACATCAGAGCAATCTTTCCTACCAAAATATATAGTTCATGTTTCTATCTTTAATTTTGAAAGCTTAGATCATTCTATTGTTATGTAAAATTCACAAGATAAAGGAAAGGGGCTTCTGCCATAAGTTGTAGTTCTCACTCCTGGTATAGGATCAGTGAATGAGGAAATAACCTTGACTCTGAGGAAGAATGTTCAAAGTTAAATTCAGTAACCTGCTGGATTACTTAAATATTCATCAACTTGACAAGAATAGTTTTAAAATAAAAAGTTCTCAAGTCATGCAACCTCAGATAAGTTAACTTTCAAGTATTACTTTCCTCAAGTGAACACTGTAATGATCTTTCTCACCTGTAAGATTATTATGGCTTAAAATGAATAAAAGTAAGGGGCAACCCACTTTCTGGTCCTTCTGTCTCTCTTAGAAGCTATGTTTCTCAATAAATTTTTCTACTCTAAAAACAAACAAACAAACCCCAAAACAAAACAACTAGTAAAGGTAAAATGTCACATGTTCAATAAATCTTTATTGTAATATAATTTTTATGATTTTATGACTATTATTAGCCAATACATTAAATGTCTTTCATTTTATTTTTTAGTTGGTTTAAATGGTTTTTTCCTTAGACAAAGGTTTTCTATTGAGACTACGTTACTTGAAAGAACATAACATTACAAATATGTCTTTTATATTTTAGCATTTTAAATTACATTTCAAAATAGTGCCAGTAATTGTCACAACTATTATAATAAACCATAAGTAACTCACTTTATGAAATGTAGAAGAAGATCAGTCACAAATTTAGCAGATTTCACAATTGGGCTTCCCGGCTCATTAAATGTTCGTGTATTATGCTCTATATATCGAATTTCCCACATTAGGGAAGAAACCCGCCTTTAAAAAAACCAAAATATATAAGTCTTTAACCTCATCATATTGGGATATATGTGTACCTAACTTAAATTTCAGACATTCTGACTTTTCAACTTCAGTCTTAAACCAATCGTATCACTCACATCTTAAAAGCCATCTTTAAAAAAAAGCATAACCCAATTTGCATTAGGGGAAAAATGAAGAGCAACATGGTCCAGTTGTACATAAAGTATTTGGAATAAGACATGCCATACTATTAACAGTGCCACCTTCTCAGGGGGGGAAGGTCTACATAGGATGTGGCAGAAGACAAGTTTTCATTTTTGCTTTACATGTTTGTCAAATATTGTATCATATTTTGATAGTAAGCACCTCTGGCTTCTAAATTATAAAATAATTTTAATTGTACTATAACTAATCAAATGATACAAAAATGAAATGACAGCCCGCTTATGACATAAAACTATTATGTTTATAAGAAACCTAAGAACTGTTTTCCAAACAACGCTAAAAAATTCTTGTTCAAGATGACTAAGAATATCATCCATTTGTAGCCAAACTTAATAAAGAAAACATTTAGAAAATCTTATGATTTGTGGAGAAATATGATTTTATATAGAAAGATATACAAGTATACAAAAAAATTTTGTGCATTTCAAATAGATTCACAAGACTCTATTCTAGTAATAGTCACACACATCTGAGTGCATCACATAGAAAACTGTCTAAAATAAGTCCTTAGATTAATACATACTAGCAAGGCAAATTGAAGATAGTTAAGAAGCGACTCAACTAGAAGTATCAGAAAAAACACAACTGTAAGAGGGGGCTAAAAAAAGCACTTTAAAATAGTGAACTACTACATGAACGCATCATTTTATTAAAAACCTAATTCAGGTTTAAAACTAAATTATCATGCTGGAAAACAGGTAATACATATTTTTTCAATTTTTTTCCCTTAAACTGGTTATGAAGCAAGGCTAATGCCAAAAAGCCTACTTAAGCTATAATGTATGCTAAAATGAAGTACACTTTAGCAATTATCATGTTCAGCAGAATTCCTATGGCAAAGTATATTTACAACAGCAAGAGATACTAGCACCTTATCTTTCTAGTTATAGTCCAACAACTCATACAGGAATAATTCATTGTCCCATGCCTTCTTCCATCTTATTATCAGATGTAAATTCTAAGCTTCAGAAATATAGTTAACTTCTGTTCCATTTTTCCCTTTCAACTTCCAACATGTGATATTGGAAAACATTTAAAGGAAGTATGCTAGAAGGTAGAATGGTTGGGAGAAACACATATGGGCCCTAATACATAGGGCAAGGGTGGTGAACCTATGGCACACATTGCCACAGCAGGGTATTTGTATTACTGAAAGCTCTAAAAGGTTCGCCATCACTGACATAGGGGCTTTCCTCATTTCAATGCTTTGGAGATACTACCACTGATGCAACTGCAAGTTCATCTAACAAGATTAAGAATTTAAAAAGCCTGATGTCTAATAGCTTAGTTTTCTTTATTACAGTGATTCTCAATCTTACAAAGGATGTAATGTTCATTGAAATTAACTAGAAAATATAAATCAACGGAAATTTCTAGTTTTTAAGCTCTAGTTTTTTCATGCTAGATTTCAATTATGAAAATTTGACTTTCCTAATGTCACTTTTCATGAGAAAATGTGGAATATAAGCAAATTAATAAACACAATTTTTGATATTTTAAGAAAAAAATTCATGAACAGTCTAACATGTTATCTAGGAGAAAATACTTTGGTTTACTTTATAAAATATTATATGAAGAAAGCTGAGCATCAACATCATATCATACCTAGAAAAACCTATACCCAGGAAATGTTCTCAACGTATAGTCTACAGACAGTACTGGGAATTTATCTGAAATGCAGAACATCAGATCCTACTCCAAACCTGTTCGGTCAGATTCTGTTTTTAACATGACCCTAAGTTATTCATATGTGTAGTATTTATATACACATGAAGTTGAGAAACTTTGCTACAAGAGATCAATAAACAGGCAAAAGAATCATTGAACGCTTTCTTTTGGTAGTACCAAAATCAAACTTTTAACCTGTAAAATCGATTTTCCAGTCTTTGTTTAATTGTACTCAGATCCGTTGGATATGCCACTACAGTGCAGTACATAGGATAAGCTTGCAGATCCACAGGGGCTACAAATGCTGAAGCAATATCTAAAATAAATAAAGTTAATTTAAAATTTTTATGTTTAAAGCATTCTACTTAAGACTTAATAAATCCCAATCTATAATAAAAAAAATTAATAAAGAATCTTACTTTTTATGTGTACATTTATAATGCAAAATTCTAGGATTTTATTCAGATTCATTAGAATAAAGAAATGGCAATATATAAAACTGACCTATACACATACATTTCTATAATTGATCATGCCTGAATGTGTATTTTTAAAAAGCTATTTTATCATTAACATTGTAACATATTTCAAATTTAACCTCTGCAAATCCTACTGCCTTATCAATACATTAATCTGTGAAATATCAGAAATCCAGAAATTTTTGACTCAACCATCAATAAACGGCACACAATATTGACAGAGCAAACACAAGAACATAGTTAAAATCACATCCCATTTTTTGCTCATTCATATATAAAACTACTTTGTATTTATAAATATTGATGAAATTATTTAAGATTTTAATCATAAGACTTTTTATACAGTAGCACCACTTCCTAACACTTCAGGGCTGGAGATGCAACTCAGTGATACAACTCTCAACCTAACCAAACAAGGTCCAGAAGTCACTCCCCAGTATGGCGGGGGTGGGAGGACGGTGGGGCTTTGTCCTTCACATTTGAGTATGCTACAATCTTGTAACTTTAGTCAGTATCATCACAATTTCTTACTCATATTAATTTATAATTTCTTCCAGATTCTCTGATGCATATTGCCTACAGTCAGAGTGGAATGCTATAAACCACACTAAGTGTGCAGTTACTCTGAAAGTCCAGAGCTCAGAAAAATCAATGTTCATTGCTTTCTTTTCTTTTAAATGAGGCAAATCCATTAATAACCGCTTTTCTCTATCCTTAACTGGTTCAGCTATGTAATTAAAATTTAGCTTTTAATACTCCTCCAATTGACATCATGTCACCTTGACTATGTCAAAGTTTTTCAAATCGGGTTGGAAGAACTCAGATTTTATTCAGCTAGAAGAATTCCATTTATAACTGTTTTAGCTATTTAAGTCTTAAGACTTTATTCAAAAGATTCCAATTAGGGGGCCAGGGATTTAGCTCAGTGGTTCCACCGCCTGCCCCAAAAGCACAAGGACCCAAGTTCGATCCCCGGTACCAAAAAACAAAAGATTCCAATTAAAAATGTACAAAGTTGGGTATGGTGGTACATATTTGTAATCCCAGGATTTGGGGAGGCTAAAGCAGAAGGATTACAAATTTGAGGCTAGTGTGGGCCACTTACCAAGACCCTGTATTAAAATAAAAAATAAAAAAGGGCTGGGGACATAGTGCAAAGGCCTGGGTTCAATACCCAGTACTAGGGGAAAAACCAAGTTTGAAGACCACAGACATGGTATTGTGGGGAAAACTGATGCTCAAAAAAGTTTTGTTCCTACAGTTTTCTTTCTGCCATTTTTTTCTATCCTCATGTTGTTCTTATTTACCTAGTGTCATCAACTGGTTTATTCCTGCAACAATTCTTTCACATTCTTCGTCTCTGAGATTAGTACCCCATTCTCCATCAAGTGGTTTATAGATTAATGATCTGCATTCAACATCAGTCAAAGGAACACTGGTACCTAGTTCTTCAGGAAATACAGCTGAAATATAGACAGGAAAGTGAAGATATTTGGTAAATAATATTTAGGTTATTTATAAAAAGCAGAATTGATCAGATAAGATTGGATGAGATATAACTGTAGACCAAAGTAGAAGGGACAGTGTCACAAAATTAAAGTGTTATTTTTAAAAGATTTGTAAATGTATTTTTTCATAAAGGAAAATACATTTTAAGGGTCAATAAAAGCTAAATTTTTAGGGGCTGGGAATTTAGCTCAGTGGTGCCACCACCTCCCTTGCAAGGTCCAGAGTTTGATCCCCGGTACCAAAAAAAAAAAAAAAAATTTTAATTTTTAGAAGGAAAATATCAACACTATAAATGATTTTCTAGGTGATCGTACCAGAAAAATTGCCCTATAATCAAATTACAGATGAAAGAGAAAACAGTTCTATAAAAACATGCAAAGTTCAGAGTTTTCTAAATTACCTGATAATTGCCATATTTACTCTAATACATAAAGTCAACTTGAACTTAATAAAGCTTGTTTCAAGAATAATCAGTGTCAAATTTTCTAATACAAGAACAGAAAGAATACTGACACATAATTCTTATGCTTTTGCTCTGCTCTATGCATGTCTAAATTTTAATATTTTAGCTAAGAGAAACACAGAGGATAATGATAGCACAAAATCTACCAATGTACCAGATATTTCCTTTGGGCAAGAGTTCATCAGAGAAATACCAGAAAATATGCCACCATTTGTATACAACCAAAATTATTCTTCCTCACATAATTAAACTCTACGTGTGCATATGTATGTGTATCCAAGCAGAACAAAAACAATAACCACCATCACCATGTGCATAGTTGTATTAGTCCAATCGCTGAACTCACAATCTTGTAACAGTTCAATGACTTTAATTCCAACTTTCACAAAGACACAAAACTAAGATATGCCATGTAACATGATTACAGGTTGATTTAATATTTTGCAGTTTTCATCAGCTCTAATTTAGTATGAGATGAGAAATACTGTGATAATTTTTCAGATAATTTTTGCAAAGAACTAATCTTAGACAAAAATTATCAACTGATCACTTCTCATTTCTAAAGTTTCCCAGGCCGAGTTTATCCAACAATTTTCTCTTCTTTGAATTTTTAAAGTTACTGTTTAGCAATTTCATTTATAAATGATCTCCGTTATAAATCAGACCTCTTCTGTTTCTAAAAGACCTTATTTTTACCTGATAGCAACAGTAATATACTGCTGTAAAAAGTCAAATGTAGACTGTAAAAGAATTTATGAAGCGCTCATTATCCCAGCCTCTATAAACAATCTTTAACTTGAAATTTTCAAATTTTACACACATACAAATTATATTGCATTTTTTGAAAATTGAAACCAACTACTACCAAGATTTTTTAAAAAAAGCAATCTCCATGCTTAGCCACACCCATTTTCTCTCAGAGTAAGGCTGTCATACTCAGTGCCTAGGGCTAATTCCCAAATCCTGAGTGTACCAGGCCTTGTACAAGATGATAGCTGTTATTGTTATTCAATGTAACTACCTCTTCATTGAGTTCTTACATGTGTCACGCTCTATAATAAGCACACACAAGATGTTCTTTAATTCTCAAAGAAGCCCTACAAGAAAGATAATTGTTTCGATAATCAAAGGCCAAGTACTAAGAAACTGAGGTTCTAAGACTTTAAGGAACTGCCAAGATTGTATAAAAAGTGGCAGGGCAAGGATACGAATCTATGTTTGACTCTAAGACTGAGCTTTTTAACTACGTTTGGTATACTGTATTCTGCTCGAGTTACAAAAAACCTTTGTTTTCTAAATGCTCATGGTGGTGGTGGTGCTGGGAGGATACTGGGCAGTGAACTCAGAACCTTGTGCTTGCTTGCCAGGTGCCGGAACCACTGAGCTGAATCCCTGGCCCCTAAATGCTCATTTTTTAAATGAATGCAATAATAATACATTTTCAATTCTTGCTATAATAAATTAATTTCAATCCTGTTGAAGACTATAAATTCTCAATGGGCAAAAATTACATCAGTCATGTTCATTGTTGACCCTCCCCTACCTCTGCGGTCAGTAACAGCTGTAGACAAATTACTTAAAAAACATTTTTTATTTCTATTTGATCTTCACAATAACCCCCCAGTAGAAAGTTAAGATAGCTTTCTTGTTTAAGAAATTAACCCCATAAGGTACATGCAAAAAGCCTAACATACACTTACCATTATTAGGTATAAGCTCCATATCCCATGGGCTCATCTTTTCTGTATCTCCATTGTCCCAGCTTTAGAAAAAGAAAAATCTTCTATTAAACTATCTGAAGATTGTATTACAATTTCTATAATATCACTTTATAAACATAATTGCTTCAGTGTTTAAAAAGAAGCAACTTTCATCCCTCTATTAATAAGTGAAGAATAAAGTGAAAATAAGCCTGGCCTAACTAAAAATACAACATGTATCTTCTTACCAGACATTATAGCACTGAAACAAACTATCAGGGTATTCGGGCTGAAGAGGTTCCTGACTTTCAATGGTTCCAAACCACCAAGCATCATCTATGACTGATCTGAAACGGTCACCTGGATAAGAACAAAAGCCACCTCGTAACTCTGAAATTTAATGTTACTTTTGTTAATTACTTCTTTCTAAAATATAACTCAAAGACACTTAAACTGCCTGTATCATTTCACAAAACATAAAGTGACCTACATATCCCACAAGTTAGTAAGTAAAACCACACAGGGAAAAGGTGTATCAAGCAATGATAAGTCAACTTGGTGTTTCTTAGATTTCATTAGGTACGGAGAAATTCAGATTTGTCATAACTACTTTTACTAATTCAACATTTTAAACTCATCATTAGAACTATGTCCAAATTTTTCTTTTAAAAATACAGCTTAGATTAACTTCTGTACAACAAATATTTACAGTCAATCTTCCTCACTTTCTAAATACAAGTTCTCCCAACCAACAACGAAGACCCAGCCCCAAAACAAAAAAAAGACACACAAAAAAACAAATTTGCCGACTTTCACCTCAACACATGTTGGTAATAACATATATATGCACCTTCCACTTCATATTAAAACAAACAAAAATAACCTTTGTAACACAGAGCACACACCTTCTATTTCCTTTTCCCACTGCATTTAGGCATTATCATGTTAAAACTGCTTTTCGTAAAGACCTACTAAGCTATCCATTTTACAGCCTGTTCTCAAAATCTTCTCAGCTTCCCTGTCATCTAGAAACCAAAAGGCACTCTTTTCCTCTGTGGAGTACTTTCCTCTTCTTGATTTTTATAGTACTTATTAGAATTTTCTCCTTGCTAGCATAGGCAAGAGTCTGAAAGACTTGGGTTCAAATAAAGGGTCTGTGTGACTTTAAATCCATTAGTTATTTTCAAGATTCATTTACGTATCTATGAAATAGTGATGCCTAACAGATGGCAGGTTTTGAGTAATGCCTTCTATTAAAATATTTTTTTCATTTTTAATACACCGTTAAGGAAAAATGAATCAAGTTTATAACTAATCTGAAACAGTTGCATTTTCAAACTCATAAAAAGGATTTAACTCATTTTTTAATCCCAACGTGTTTTAAAAATTAATAAAGACATACAGCATAAAGTAAATAAAAAATTTTAAAACAAAGCACAAGAAATACATAAATAAAAAGGAAAACTGGAGCCAACAATAAGCCAACAGAACACATCTATAGGTTTTGAATGGGTATACATTTGGATCCAAGGTTAAGCAGTCTCATAGGCAATGTTAAGAGGGAAGCATGATCAATTACTAAAATCTCAAACTGTTCTTTAGATAAATATTGGTGACACTGAACTTAGACAATACTATTTAATAAACAGCAACTGTTTTTAAGGGCAATGATGTTTAAATCCAGGGCCTCATGCATGTTCCAAGGCAAGTGTGTCATTACTGAGGTACATTCTGAACCCTTTTTTATTTGATTTTGACACAGGGTCTCACTGTGTTGCTCAGGCTGACCTTGGATTTGCAATCCTCCTTCCTCAGGCCCCAACTAGCTGTGATTATAAGCATGCTTAAAGAGCTTTCTTGATATTACCAAGTTTACTGTAAATACAGAGTTTCACAGACTTATTTCTTATGATCCTTCAGACTGATGACATTATGCTAGAGGATGAACTTGATAATGAATGCTTAACCATGATGAACAGTATGAGCAGACTAATAATACAGACAAGCAAAGAAAAGAGTAAGCCCTAAAACACTTCTGAGAAAAGGTTAAATTACTGCTAATGTAATTTTAAATGGCAATTTGTAGGTGGATGCATCTCTCTTCAGACATAAAAGACCCATCAGGCACTAACTTTAGAAGATCTGATGCTTCTTCATTTGAAATACCTTGATTCAATTTCTCACTAAGTATTAATTTCCTAATTACCTGTATTAAAAAGAATGTGTTATATTTAATAGATATTTAGTTTTATTATGACAATGTAAATACTTTTTGCTACTAAGTAAAATGGCATACAATTCCTTTCTTGTATAATTTTGGTTTTCCTCCAGTAACTGCTTCATATTTTGGTTTTCTATGACTTCACAATTAAATCTTCCCACATTTTCTAACAGCTCAACCTGTAAAAGACACTCTTCAAAATAATTTCCCAACAACTCAAACTTTTCTGCTAAGTTAGGAAGTGATTTTTATTTTTTCCTCGGAAGACTTCTCTCTTAAGAGGACAATGTCCTCTGGACTGATTATTTCCTAGACTTGATAGACACTGCTATCCTGAGACTTCTCTTGACTGTTACCTTACAATTCCTTTTGGTTTTTCCTATTATATACTTTCTATTTCCTGAGTAACAAGCTTCGATAGTATTTTCTTTTTTGGTTTACTTTGCCCCTCCGCCACCACGCCAGCATCTTCCAATGGCACTAAATTATTCTATTTTGCCAAATCCTATGTGCTGCATACATACAACAATGCACTCCAAGATGACAAACACTGGCCTTGTTTGAAATTTTTTTAACAGAACTACTTAATAAATAGCACATCCATTTGTATGTAAGTTAATGTATCATTTAAATGCCTAGAAAACTTTTAATTACAGTTTGTGATTTATTCATAGTATTAATTTTAAACATAATAATAAGAGTTAAACAAAAACAGTCAGTTTAGCTTCAGTCCCAGTCCAAATGAATGTACATTTTGTTAAGGACTGTTTAGGTTCTGGATATGAATTGTTATTAATATTAATTAATCTACCATATAAAAAAATCTAAAAGAAAACAGTCTCATAATTTTATAATCTTGTAACAGATGGTTATGAGATATAAGAGAAAAAATGTTTTAAACTTAAGTGTTCTCAATCTTAAATCACCGACCTATATTCCACCGCCTATATTTTGCATCATCAAATTGTTGTCTCAGGACCAGGAAATCTATAACATCAGGCATATCGTGGTACCTAGTAACAAACAGAAACAAATTAATTAGGACACATACCTAAAAAGTATCTAAAATATATACAAATTTCTCTGAATATTAAAAAATAATAACAATACTAAGGAGTATCTCTTTCAACAGTCCTTACTTCATAGTAAATGATCCACCAGTCAGTTTACCAGTATCAGGATCTAAAAAAGCAAGTTTAAGGCAGCAAAGGGTAGGTAATCCCACTTCATATTTTATGCCAACTATTTTCATCAGTTCTTGCTCCTAAAATAGAGAAATTAAGAAATCATCTGTATAAAATAAACCGTAAGTTTACTGCTAAACATAATCCAGAAAACATTTCTTGTTTTTAATTTTGATCTGAGTGATAATTATTCTGTATGTATGTGTGTGTGTATATATATATATATACACAAAAATTCATTGAGCTGTGTCCTTAAGATTTGGGTACTTTATAGAGTCTGCAGGTTACATGGAAATATTTAAAAAGCATGAATTTTTCAACACTGTTCCAAAGAGCACTAGATAATTGTGAATTACTTCTGATAAGTCTAGAGATAATCAAATTTATAAGTATCTACAGTTCAGTATTAAGTGTTGCCTAATTTTCCCTGTAACTACATTTTGTACCTAACTTATAAACTGTATTAGGAAATATAAATTTAGTCACTTTTGTGTTTCTTTGGTCAAAAATTAAACACTTATCCTCCTGGACTGCTTCCATTAAATAAAGTGCTTTCATGAAAAGAGTTTCTCACAGTGAAAACAAGTAACACTTGATAGAATTCTTTCCATAATCCATAAGTACATCTTTTGTTTTGGTAATAAGTCAATACCATACCCGTAATTCCATTTTATGCCATGGTTGTTTTTTAGGATTAATACTATAAATTTTATTTTTCCGGGCCATTTCAACATATGCTTCATGTCCTTGTCGGAAATAATAAACCTAAAAAGTAAGTAAAGTCAATTTTAAACTCTGGATGTGTTTCTAAGACACAACGTTATCAGCTAAATTTTTAGACAAAAATCTAAAGACCTTCAAGCTACAAAAATTTTAATACTGACTTTTGTTTTTATTCTTTTTAGGCAAGTGATTTATATGTATATGAAAAACTTCTTGAAAATTAAATACTGTATGGGGTGGGAGTGCAGTTCAATAGTAGAGTGCTTGCCGAGCAGGCATGAAGTCTTGAGTTTGTTCCCTGGCTCTTCCTCCATCCCCATCCTCATCCCCATCCCCACCCCCAATTCCTATTTTAACATTATAGATCTTAAGGGGAAAATAATTATGAATATGTATGTAAATTAACATTATTTGAAATAAAATCAAATGAAAATAAAGTATTCATTATTCTTTAACCCACATTTTAATTTTTTAAGTTAGAAAGAAAAAAAGCAATAAAATCTTATTAAAAATAAATGCCAGTTTTTAAAAGTACCGGCAAAATTTCCTTTCTTTTATAATATTTGAATTACTGCAATTATTTATAGTAATCTTAAGAAAGATTATTATTAGATCTTTCTTCCTAATTGTTTTATACATTTAGGAACATTGACAATGAGATACTTTTGTGAACTTGCTGCATTCTTCTAGAGTCGAGTTTCAAAAGCTGTAAAAGAAAAGTTCAAGGTTATTCATTGAAAAAATAAAAAGATAAAAGTATAAGTACCTCATCCCCCATCTGGGGCACGAATGGGCATCTTCGAGGAAGAGTGTCTGTGATCCACGTTGAAGGCAGCCATTCTTCTAATGTTAGACCATTTCCAGTGAGTTCTCCCACAGCCAATCTCTAAGAAAGTTTGGAATATTATAAAGCAGTATTACCATAATAGCACAAAGCAGACACAGAAAAAGGATTTTGCAATGGACCTCTGCATTAATTTTATTTTTTAGCATTAAAAAATCTTATTTAGGAAAAAATGGTCGTGGCAGAAGTGGAAATGCTCAATTTCTCCAAATCAATGATAAAAAGAGAATTAGAAACACCAAAATCAACAAATATTCACCAAATTATGTAAGACAGTCTCACAAAACACAAAGTATAAGCTCTGTGTAATTTCCTCTTTCAAAATAGTACTGATCTAATAGACATTCCATATAACAAATTAAGACATACCTGAGTTTTTAATCACATTCTTAGCAGGTAAGAACTAAGTAAGATATTCTCATAAGAAATAGAAGGTTAATTTAATTTCCATGCTTTTAAATAGTCTGAGAATGTTCCTCTTCCCTTATTAAATAGCCATTTCATTACTCCTGGCTCACTTAAACCCTGCGCCCCCATCAGACTTTCGTTTCTCAAAAATGTTAAGACAGGTCCCTTACATCTTTTAACTCTCATGGATAAAAACAAAGCTGTATCTCTCAGAAACACTTAATTTGGCTATTCACCCTCAACTGTCTTGACATTACTGCCTCAGAATTAGGAAAACCTGACTAGAAGATTTTAATATCTAATATTACTTACAAGTAGAGAAACTATGCAATTGATTAAAATGTTGTGGCTTAAATTTTGTTTTATTGTACTTTTAAAAATAGTTACCACTAACAGTTAATAAAGTTTACCAAAAGAAGAAATGAGGCCATAATGTGATTATCAGAGAACATTATTGCAGCAGGACCATTTTTTAAAAGTCTTGCTATGTGGCCCAGTTTAACCTAGAACTTGCAATCCTCCTGGCCTCAGCATCTCAAGCAGCTGGGATTCTAGGTTTGTGGTATTGCAGCAAGTACTTCTATAGTTGCTTCCCAATACACACTCTTCTTGTTCCTATTACCAACTTTGCTGTGTGGGTAACAGTGTCTCCTTGGAGAGGAGACTGAAGCATTATCTCCTTGGAGAACAAAGGAGAAATAAAAAACTTTAGTACTTTCGATATGGGATATGGATTTATGGGAGAATTTTAAGAAGAGAGTGATATGATCTGACTTCTTTTAGGAGGATTACTCTGGATCTATCAGGACAGAAATTGGCAAATCATGATTCATGGTCTAAAGTTCAGCCTGCTGACTGGTATTTATAAATCACTTTTTATCAAAACATAGGCATACCCATTCTTTTCTATACTTTATATGGCTGCTTTCAGATACTTTATATGACTTTATATGGCTGCTTTCAGATTACAAAGATAGAGTAGCTGACCTTGATCAGAAAAAGTTCAATAACTTCAGTTTTGTAGACTAGACTCTAGGAATAATTGGGAAGAAGAACTAATTTGAAGTGGCTACAGTATTACAAGTGAGAAAGAGTTCATGCTGTCTACAACGTGATACCAGTGGAAGTGGCAAAAAGAGCTAAGTTTCAAACATATTTAGTGTGTGGAGCCACAGTAATCATTTTGATAGATTTGATGTTGACTATAACAGAAAACAAGGAATTAATGGGCTGGGGATTTAGCTCAGTGGTTCCACCACCTGCCTCACAAGCGCAAGGTCCCAAGTTCGATCCCCAGTACCAAAATTAATTAATTAATTAATTAATAATTTTAGGTGGCTGGCATAAACAAATAAAGGATGGAGTAATCAGGCAGGAGAAGGGATTGGAAACCACATGATCATTTGTCATTTTCTCTATTTTTATCCTGGGGGACTGACGTATGTTAGCGACACATCATTTTTAGAATAAGTACTCTTACATTTCTATTTTATTAATTCATAAACTGTATGCACTTGATAAATATTTACTGACTTCATTTCCAGAGCTCCGAAACATTATATATATGTAAACTACCTGAAATGAGTGCACTGAATCTCTTTAGAATTCTATTTTTAATTAGCATTTTCTATATCTGCCTTTAGAAAAGCCATATGGAAAAGATAATCATTTTTTCATACATGCAATACTATTAATCACTTAATGATCTTTCAGGTGCTTCGCAATTCTACACTTAGGAAGGAAAATACTATGTTATTTGATATAACTTGAAGATTAAGAACAATTCTACCTGGTAGATCCACATAGAGGCATGTAGAAATAATTCAAATTAAAGGGTATACAGTTTATAGTACCCTAACCTAATTAAAGTCTGCTAAAAAGCAAAATAGAGAAATTGAAAATGTACCACTGCATGAAGGAACCCATGGTACAGTATTAGTTTCTGATACCGTCAAACAACAGGAACCACGTGAAGCAACCTATACTCTTGGGACTGAAGAATTATACTCTCAAAATGACTTACCACTAGCAAACCTCAAAAATTCATCAGAATTTTTTTGAGATTGAAAAAAAGACTACCTTATTAGCAAGGTATATGGCTAAATCAGTTTTCTTTAATCTGTTTACTACATAAAAATGGCTCAGACTACCTTTATCATCACTAACAAGACAGAAGAGAAAAAAATGTGGGCAAATGTGGCAATCTAAAAATGGTATAGGTATATTTTAAAAAGCCTTCCATTTTCTAAAACAAAACATGCATCCCTACTATACTATTTCAGAGAACAGAAAATACGTCCCTCATATTGTGTGTACTTTATAGTAAAAATTAAATTATCTCATATTTTAATCCCAATTTCAATTCTGTAAGAGCTGATAGATCTTTCCATAGTATTTAATCCTTTACTCTCAAATTATTCATAGACTTAACACGGTAAATCAAACAATACTATTTACAGACTTAAAACTATGAAAAATTATGGTTCATATGCTATGTAAATTAATGAGGACGTTACAAAAAGCCTATGTTACCCAATTTAGATTTATATTTCCTTTGTCATCAAATATGGCAAGTTTTGTCATTTGTATTATTTGTGATGGACTCCTTAGGTTTTCTGCTTATTTTTAGTAATAGTAATTAGGACAGTTAAGTTTAAAAAGACAATCAGCAAAAACTGTCTTTGCAAAAATAAAAAAATCTCATCAGAAAAATATGATCATGTTTTAAGATGAAATATTCCATATTTACTCAGTTTTTAAGAAAATACTCTTACACATTAAATATCTAAAAATTTATGTAAACTAAATATACTTTGCTACTATGTACTTCTGAGTATTTTGTTTGAACTCGTTAATAAACTCAACAATGTTTAACTACAGTTTTTAAATGTATGCTTTTTAAAACATTTTCATAAAAAGAAAACACATTTGTAAATTTTAAAAACCAACCTTTTGTTTCCTTTCTTTGGGCTTCTTTTTCTTTGGTGATGTTGGTCCATCCTTTTCTTCATTAACTTTTTTCCTTTCCTTTTTATTATGTTTTTGCTTCTGTTTTTCAGATTCTTCTTCTTCATCTGAACTGCTTTCTGCTTTCTTGGTTTTATGCTTAGGAACTTTCTTTGGTGGCTGCAAATTAATTCCTGCATCTGCTGTCCAGTCAGAGTAATCACTGGAGTAGTCACTGGAGAGAAGGGATTTTAAAAATGTACACATTTTAAGACTTAGTTTTATAAAAAGGGAAAGACTGTAAGTGATAAAGGGAAATGATAATATACTGTACACACTTAAAACTAAAATATATTTCCCACTCATTTTCAAATTTCTTAAAATTCTGTAGGTTTTAAATTATCTCAAAAAAAATTCAAGATAAATAAGGTCATAGCTTTGAGTGAAAAAACCTTCGGTGAATTGTAGAAGAAAAATATTGATTTCTGAATTTTGCCTGTACCAAGAATACTTTTGGCATATAAATGTAAAGAACAGGGGTGTTACCTCCCTCATATCTGACAACAGAAAAGTACCCTAAAGAGCACGGGAGGTATTAAATTGAGACACAGATTTCTTTTCTTGCAGGAAGCTGGGAATTCTTAGCCAATGATACACTTAGAAGCCATATACTGAATTGGTGGGGTCAGAAGTGTGCCTCCTTAGTGCAAAGACTGTGCTTATAAACTTCACTTAGAATAATTTCACCTAAATTTCTCGTCTACATGATACCTATTTGTATCTTAGATGTATGATTTAAAATATGCCATGATTCAGAAAGTTTTACTATTTTATGTGCCCACCAGTCATGTGTGCCATTTCTTTTCAATTCACCTGCAGATATACATCTCACTTATGTGCCAAAATAAAGCATCCAGTTATGTTACTTACTTTGCACAGTTTCATAAATATAAATGACTTAAAAGGATTTAAGTTACACTATGTTAAAATCAATAATCACTTCATTTAGATTTAGTGATAACTAATAGTGCTTACACTAACACTGAACAAACAGATTTTTTTCTGGAGTTTTATTACAGCACCACTACTCCTCCCCGCAATCCAAATGTTCCTTACAGGCATTTATCTAAACCTTCCCAAGAATAATCACTCTAGATAAGAGCCAAATTACTAGTTTCTAGGATGATTTCATTATGAAATTTAAAATGATCTTTTAAAAAATTTTAAAACTTTTTAGGTATTCTATTCTAGAACAGGTTCCCAACTTGTGAGCATTTTATTTACACCAACCCCGCTCATACCACTGTAAATGACACCTGCCAAACCATACGTGCCACTCTCTGGTACTTAGTCCTTAGAGAACATTGGCTGCCGGTATAGCAATAAACTCGAGAGACCATTTTCTTTACAACAAATGTTCTCAACTGCTAAGGTCAATGCTGATCTCTCAATTCAGGAATTGCCGCACTGTCTTGTGGTCTGAGATGCTCTATTTCAAGTGCTGAGCCAAAAGTAAGTGCTATTTCCCCTTTCATTGCCCTGCCTGTTTTAAATATCCCTGTAACAACATGAATCACCAATATAAGGAGTTGAAGAAATTTTCATTTGCAATGGTCAAATGCATGGAAAAAATAGAAAAAAGGAAAGCCTTTTCTCATTGCTGGAAGAGAACATTTTTAGTAATATTCTATATAAATTCCATTATATGAGATAGTTAACTCCACAAGATCTCATTAATTTCATTATTTGATGCTTAAACATTTCTCAAAACAGTAATAAAACTGGTTTATAGTTCAGTATTAAGTAACAGCATTAAGAAGATAAAATTCCAAGTACGTAAATGAAGTTAAAAGTATCATTTTATAGACCCATTCACAATTTCCAAAGTTTTTTTTTTATAGGGAAGGCATGCCAAAAGAAAATGTCCTAAACTATGGACAACTAATTCTTTGAAGAACTATAAACAGAGAGATTCTGATGTGTACTGCTAGTAGAAAACAAAAGAAATCAAAAAGTTCAATGTCCAGTTTTCTAAGGTTTTATATAACACTGTGAAAAATAAAAGCTCATTTTTTTTTGGGTACCAGGGATTGAACTTGGGACCTTGCGCTTGCGAGGCCAGCACCGAAACCACTGAGCTAAATCCCCGGCCCAAAAGCTCATCTATTTACCTGGAACTGCCATCGCTATGCCACGCTCTCTCTTCCTCTTCAGACGTCCCACCACTGACAGCAACTACTTCGCCTTCCTAAAGGACAATGAAGACATACTATGTGTAATCTCATGATTATAAAACATTCTAGTGATATACCAAACATGTAAGGATATTTAGAATAAAATGATTTCAATTAGTTGTAAAGTACAGCTTTTACATTTTTATTAAAAAGTAAGAAATGTATGTATCTAAAGGCATAATACTAATACCACATTCAGAGCATCTTTCAGGTGTTTTTTTTTTTTTTCTGGTACTGGGGATTGAACTCGGGGCCTTTGCACTGAAGTATATCCTCAGCCCTTTTTGCTTTTAGTCAGAGTCTCCCTAAGTTGCCTGGCCTGGGGTTGAACCTGAGGTCCTCCTGCTTCAACCTCCCAGAGCGCAGTGATTACAGGCATGGACCACCATGTCCAGCTGTGTTCTTTAACACAAAATCTTACACAATTTCTTTATGCATCAACAACTATAGCTCCTCCTGTTTATTACACTTTTACTGAAGCCAGCAACTTTATGGTTCATTTAGATGATTCCTTACAGGATAATAAAATATATTCCTTTACAATTTAAATAGAATATAGTTTGGGAGAAAAGTCTTCCCATTTTGATGTCATAAAGAATGTGAACTGTATGACTATTCCAAAGAATTCTGAAAACTAAGCAAGTATGAAACGATCAAAATCCAATAGTGAATAATTTAGCAAATTTAATCTTTACTCAAAACAACTGAAATCATAACAAATTATGATTGTTTCCCTTTTTTATGTTACTTCCTTAAAGGGAAAGAAAGAATTACTTCTACATTCTGAATACAAGTAAGTACAAGATATTTGATTTTAAAAAGCCAAGATAGCCTGGGATGTAGCTCAGTGGTGCCATGCCTGCCTGGCAAGCACAAGGTCCTGAGTTTGATTCCCAGTACCAAAAAAAAAAAAAGGCCAAGATATTTTCCTATTAATTAGTATGTTCTGCCTAACATATTCTGATTCTGTTCTCAATGTACTCCTGTCAAAATTTATTCAACTACTCTAAAAGGATGCTAAAGCACAAGGATTTAATTGAACTTTTCTTTATTTAACAAATGCAATCTTGGGAATACATTTAAGTTCCTAATAAACTCAACATATTTAAATACTAAGTTCTTAATAAATATTTTAAGGAATACTTTAAACCTTTCAAATATAAAGATTTTTGGGCCAGGGATTTAGCTCAGTGGTTTTGCAGCCTGCCTTGGAAGCGCAAGGTCCCAAGTTTGATCGTCGGCACAAAAAAAAAAAGATTTTTATTAGGCAAAAAATTAGTTCCATATATTTGTTCTATGTATCTATCCAAGCCATTACTGGCTAAGCATGGTGACACACACCTTGAAGACCTAGTTATTTGGGAGGCTGAAGCAGCAGGACCACTTGAGCCTAGGACTTTTAAACCGACCCGGGAAACATAGTGAAACCTTATCTCGGAAAAAAAAACACCAAAAAACAAAAAAGGAAACACCAAACTGTCACCTATGAGGTTTTGATTTTTTTCCTCCCAAGGACTGGGCATTGAACCCTGGGCCTTCATGCTAAGCTATATACCAAGCTGTTAAAAAAAAAAATTGACACAAGCTTTAAGTTATTATTAGACTAGGGGCCAGGGATTTAGCTCAGTGGTTCTGGCGCCTGCCTCGCAAGCACAAGGTCCCGAGTTTGATCCCCGGTACAAAAAAAAAAGTTATTAGACTAGGCTCAAAGCTGTCATCTTCCTGCCTCAACTTCCTATAGCACTGGAATTATAGGTGTGCACCACTATACCAGCTTTAGTTTGTTTTTTCACCAAAATGAACACATCATTCTAGAAGAGACTATATTTTATTTTTCTAATTTAAAAAAAAAAAAAAGTATTTTTGGAGACAAGATCTTGTTATTTTGCCCAGGCTGGTCCTGAATTCCTAGGCACATTTGATCTTTCCACCTCAGCATCCTGACTGCTGGACTACAGAGAAGTGATGGGAAAGGAAAAGGAGAGGCAAAGAGATGATTTTAATTGGTGAATAAGAATGATCTGTGATTGTAAACTAATTACCTTTGCTAAAACAATGTTTAATTTACTAGGAAATACAGAAATAATTATGCATGAAGAATATCAAAACACTGAGAAAGCAACAAATTGGTAATGAGATAAAAAAATCTAACCAAAATTGTCAAATGCCTATTGATTAGCTGTAATAGGTATACTATGCCAGGGCATCATTTTATCATTTTAAAAACTTGGCTTTAAAGTAAAAGGAACCTGTATTTAAACCTGTACTTAATCCTTGCTCCACCATTTAATAGTTAGATGGATATTCTAAACATATTTGAAACTCAGAACCCTTATATGTAAGATGAGAATAATTAAGTCACATGGATATGTTTTGAGAATTTACATGTACCACCCCTAGAATAGATTGTTAGTAAATGGAAACTATCATCATTGTAAGGTCAAACTATCACCTTTGAATTGTATTTATATCAATGAATAAAATAATAAAAATTATGTCTTAAAAAAATGGATATAGAAATTTAATGTGCTGAAATCTTACATCTGAAGAACTAGTGCCATTTTCTATCTCCTCCAAGGGTCTAGGAGTCTCTTCCAGGGCAGATCTCGTACGATAGCTGTGTTGATTTGCTTGCTGCTTTTTGGATTCCCCAAGATCCAGTAAATGCTCATGAGCATGATTCTGGACAATATTAAATTTATACATAGTTAGCTTTTACTCTTCATATACCAACATGAAAACTATAGAAATGATACAAGAAAAAGGAGAATAGGGTGCAATTGGTAGAGGTAAAATGGAGACCATTAAGCTATTCTGCCACTCCAAGTAGCTTTTATCTTTCTTCTGCTGGAGATAAATCTGAGAAATCTTCTGTGGCAGGTAAGAACATAACCAATAATCATTAAAAAATTGACACAACACAGAGACAGAGATAACACTAACAGAGACAAAAGACAAACTCAACACAATAATATAGATCTGAGAAAGTTAATAAAGCAACCTGTAAAGCAAGAGAATCAATTAGAGATTTTTGAAATTAAAAATTACCATTAAATCGGAGGAAAAAAGGTGGCAGGTTGACCATATAAATTGAAATGTTTATTACTGAGCTGAAAGATGAAATAACCCCAAACTTCAAACAAAAATAAATGTGAAAAAGAAACTTTCAAAGCTAAAAATAAGAAACATACATTTGGACAAATCATAGTGACAATTAATACAAACAAAAAAGGGGTTATGATTAACATCAAAGAAACAGTAACATTGTTTCTTTGCTTACCACAGATTTACTTATCACATAGTTAAGAAAAATGACTACTTTTAGATTGACAGAAAATAACTTTGAACCTATAATTATATCCACATTGGTGAAAGTGAAATAAATATCCCCATATAAAGACATGATTTGCTCCACAGATCCCTTCTAAAAGAATTACCAAAGGGTTTCATAAATTTGTAAAATTTTGTTAAGTTTGCAAAGTATAAAAAAAGTAAACAATGTTCAACTATGCCATGAACTTTGACTAATACACTGGAAGAATATATCTCATCTCTTTCATTTAACATAAAACATCTCTACCTATTCAAATATCATTAAAAATTACTATTTGTTACATTTTATAAGGCTTTATTGACAACGGTACTTCCATAAGATAAATTCCAAAGTCAAAGAACATAAACTCTTCAAGTGTAAAGGGGAAAATCAGTTGTCAGCCATCATCTGTTCTCTGTTTCCACAAAAAAATACATTTTCCTTATTAGAGTTTCATACGACTACATTTTGGCCAGCGGGAAATCTGGCACATTACTGAGCAACATCAAAGAGTCTTCTTCAGGAAAGCGCATGTGTCCTTCACACCTCCCTCTTTGATCCTCTATCCTTAAATAAGAATGCTACTTTTAAAGGGCATGAAGTCGAATCCTGGAGAATCAGAAAAATGAGTAGGCCTGGACTACCTACCAAAGTTTTCACATGAGAAATACATCTATTTCTAATTTGTTTAAACCAAGTTAGGTCTGAAAACAAATCATTATTTTGTTTTTTAGATCACTGCTTAGAACCTGAAAAAGAAGTTTAATATAGTTCCCCTCAACTTCAATCTCTTTAGACTCTGAAGCTGACTCCTTGACAATCAGGGGAGTAAATGTATCTCTCTCTCTGTTTAGGGCATCTTGTTCTGCCAGGGTAGGATGACAAAAAATCCAACAGGGCAAAACTAGTAGGAACAACCAACATTATTAATCAAGAAAATAAGAACTATTACTTATAGGTGTACTAGCTGATTTGATTATCTACAATAATAGATGCAAAACAGCAAAAAAATAGATTTAAAAAAACAAGACATTGTTTTAAAGTGTGAAACGAAGTGCAAAACTAAAATTTATTAGGTTTAATGAGTAAATAAGAATTGGCATTTGGGGAAAAGATATGCTAGAAGGCAGGAAATGAACTAAACTTTATAAATGATAACATAATCCAAATAAATGAGTTATATTAAATTTTATTTCATTAATTATCCCATTTAAATAACATTTTTAATTAAAAGGGAGGGCCTTAAAATGGCCATTATACTTAACACACAATGTTTAAGTATCACAGTAAATAAATTTACCTTTGAGACACTAGATATTTTATTTTCTTTTGCAACTGTTAAATGTTTCCTTTTCTCTTCTGATCTGTAAGTCTTTATTTCTTCTTCTCCTTTAGCAGTTCTCCATTCTTCTTGCCTACTGAAAGAGAAGATTAAGTCATACATCTTAATCTAGAATTTTTAAACTGATTTGGCCCCAAAAGGAATGATAGGTTTCAGGGAAGGAATGCTAATCCTGATGTGTTTTTTCCTTCTAGATGTAAGCATGTTAACTCAGATATCTTGAGTTTGAATTCTTAAGTCTTGAGCTCAGGATATTACACATTAAATGTCCAAAGCATTGAAAAATAAGATTTTTGTCTATGTGAAATTACTGTTTTCCAATGGTATTTGATAAATGAAGTTTTAAATTCTGGCAGCACAATTATTCCTAGAGTAACTGCTCTAAAGGTCAGAAATTGGATTTAAAAAAAAAAAATCAAGTATAGGGTCTGTGATCTGACAGTCTCATGTGCCATGGAGGTAGCCAGAAATTTATTTTAAATTAGTGTATACTAGTTATACAGAACAGTAAACTTCATTCTGGCATGTGTACACACACACATAGAATATTTTGGTCATCTGCCCTATTATCCTCCTAGGTCATCCTTTTCCTCTTTTCTAATAATCTCCCTCTACATTCACTCTTTTCCCTTGTATCCCTTATATGAGAAAAAACATACAACACTGGTCTCCAGAATGACTATTTCTTTCTTCTTTGAGTAATATTTCATTGTGTGTACATACCACATTATCTTTATTCATTCATCTGTTAATGGACACGCAGGTTCATAACAGCTTAGCTATTATAAATTGTTCTATAATACATATAGGTATGTAGGTCTCTCTAGAATGTGCTTAATCCTTTCAGGAATATACTGGCGAATGCTATGCAGCTAGACTCTTTTTCAAAGCCAATACAACTCCTGAAGTTCTGGAAGAACTACATTCTTTCCTATGAGGCAGGTCAGGCTTCACCTGCTGAAAAAATTTGGTATCTGTGCAGGTTTCAAGATAAAACAAAGTTTAACAGGAAAAAAGTTGAGGAATATTAATTCAGAACTTTAATTTCATGAAACCCAAACTCAGAAGGATAAGACCATTGTTTTAAAGCTGTAATTTCTATGGGGCCGGGGATATAGCTCAGTGGTTCTGCCGCCTGCCTTGCAAATGCAAGGACTCAAGTTCGATCCCCGGTACCAAAAAAACTAAAAAACCCCCCAAAAACCTGTAATTTCTTACAACTTCAAAGATTTGAGCTGCAAGGGTACTTGATTTTGAAATTTTAATTTTCCCCAGATTTCCATTAACCAGAAAGGAGTTAATATTCAAACTCAGAGCACCTATATACTGCTGTTACTTTATTACTAGGGTATATTAAATGAATTATCTTAGTTAACTATAGAATTTCCAATGTGCTTAGTCATAGTTATGAATTGAAATAAGAATTTAAATCTTGTGAAAAGGACAGCCTTGATTTAACTTTGTTCTTGATTTTTAAGCTTTTTATTAAAATAATCAGATTCACAGAGTTGTAAGAAATAATTCAGAGATTTCATGTATCCATTATCCAGTTCCTCTTAATGGTAACAACTTATAAAACTATTAATTAAGTATCACAAACAGGATGGTAGCACTGATACACTCTTATTAGTCTTAGATTTTGCAGTTTTACTTCCATTTGTGTGTACATGTGATGCAAATTGTACAGGTTTGCATATCCATCATACTAGACACAGAATGAATATGACTTGTGGTGTCCTTCTATTATCATACTGGCCTCCCTTTCCTCCAGTTCATTCCTGTATTTTCCTAATCTTAGCAACCACTAAGCTGTTCTCCATCTCTGTAACTTTTATCATTCCCAGAAAAGTAACTTTTACAGTAACCATTTTTGTTCAGTCAGTATAATTTCAAGACTTAGTCAAACTCTTCTATCAACTCTTTGCCAATCCTTTTTATTGACAGCAGCATCCCACAGTGTGGATGTACCACAGTTTAACAATATATCCACTGAAGAGCATCTGGGATTTTTCCTAGCTTTTGGGTAGTACAAATAAAGTATGTATTTGTGTAGTGCAAGTTATTGTGTGAACACGAGTTTTTATTTCTTTGGGATAAATTTCCGAGAGTACAACTACTAGGAGGTATAACATCTGCAAATTTAAGTTTTTAACAAAGTATAAAACTTTTTCAGAGTGGCTGTACCATTTTATATTCCTACCAAAAATGTGTGAACAATCTAGTTTTCCTTACATCTTTCCCGGCATTTAGTCCTTATTTATTATTTTAACTATTTGGGAAAGGCATGTAGTGAAATTTCACTGTGGTTTTAACTGGCATTTTCCTAATTGCTAATGATGCTAAGCATCTTCTCATGTGCTTATTTACTGTTTTCTTTGGTGAAATGTCTGTTCATGTCTTCTCTCATTTTCTGATCAGTTTTATTTGTTACTGAATTTGAAGAGTTCTTTTTATGTTAAAGACATCAGCCCGTTGTTGGAATATCTCACTGGACTGTATTTAATTTTAACTTAGTTTGAATTATGTGCTAATCTGACTCAGATCTGAGCCTTTTAGAAACAAACTGTAAACCAAAAGATTCTCAAAGGAAAAGTATTGTACTAGGGCTGGGGGTGGGGGTGGGAGTGGGGACATGGGTCTAGGAAGGTCTAAGTAAGAACAACCTTTAAAGTGAAGGCCAACACTTTGCTTGACTACAGGGTTGAGAGTTAAACACAATGATTAAGAGATAAAATGGTGAATATTTAAAAACAATCCTTCTACTCGTCAAGTTTTCTGAAATATGTGCAGGAGCCTCAACCACCAACTAGCAACTATACTCATTCCTCTACACAGGAGTAAATGAACCAACCAATTTATAACCTTTAGAAGAAAACCCCCATCTCATCAGGACGGCATCATCTTGTATCACCTAGTGCAGTGTATACACTCTGCTCTGGATTCTGAAGGAGACCACTTGTTTCACATAGGGAAGTATACTGTGGCCCACTGCTTATGTTTGGACATTAGTACTAGGAAGTACACTTTACGCAATAAGTCACATTCTTTGAAACTGTTATCAGTAAGAAAAAAGCAATCTTCTGTTTTTTTGTATTTCTTCTCTGTGTTGTTCTTCAATTAGTTCAGAATGTGTGTTGAAAATATGGGTATTATTTATTGGATTATACTCTAGCCTTAACATTAGAATTTTAAAAAGTGGGCAGAGACCCAACTTAAAATACTCTATGAAACGTAATTTTTCATCAAGGCGGGCACGGTGGTGCATGTCTGTAACTCCAGTACTCAGGAGGCTGAGGCAGGAGGACTGCTGCAAGTTTGGTCCCAGCCTGGGCTACAAGTGAGTTCGAGGCCAGCCTGGACTACATAGGGAGACCCTGTTTCAAAAAAAAATTTTTTTGATTAAGGACATGTTTATCGTAAAAGTCATTGCTTAAATTTATACCTTAGGTTTATATTTAAGCCTAAATCCCAACATAAATTCTGTAAGTACTGCCTAATCAAAACAGCATAGCCTATGCAAACATCTGATTAAAAAATGTTAATCATAAACCAAGTGTGGTAGGGTACCCCTATAATCCAAGGACTTGGGAGACTGAGGCAAGAGGATCACAAGCCCTGCCTGGGTAACTTAGTAAGACCCTGACTCAAAATAAAAAAGGGTTGGGAATGTACCTCAGCGGGAGAGCGCCCTTGGGGGTTCAATCCCCAATACCACCAATAAGAAAGTTAATTACAGAATTACTATTTTAAGAATTAGAAAATCTTAATTCAAATTCACATTTTGATTGCCATACTTTTTATATTATGGAACCCAGTATTAGGTTCATATGGATCTCATTCTTGAGTACCTCATGACTATAAAATGAAATGAAACTACATGTAATGTTCCTTCATAGCATAGACTACAGAAATTGGTCTATACCAAGCCAATACTTAATTCATGTATGTATTTTTAAATATCAGAAGTCATGTTTATATGACTTGATAAAGTATATTAATAAGTAATTTATTTTTCTGAGTAATACAGTGAGAATGGTTAGTAAAATCCATTTAAAACCCTAAATAACAACTTTATGAAATGTCTCAAGAAACATACATGACAAACTATTCAAATTTATGATTTTCCCCATTCATCTGAACACATCCCATCTCATCATTTATATGAATCATTCCAAAAAAGACATTTACAAATTAAATTTTTCTACAGGGTCACGAATAGTTGAAAGTACTAGTTTTTCACATAAAAGGCGACTGTAGGGCAGAAAAGATATTTTGAAGACTAACTGCTTGCAACTATAGTATATACAGATTAGTAATTTCTCTTACCTGGCCACACCGGCTGATAATTCAGGTACTACCACCCTTCGACTCCAAGCTACAAGATCACGCTCTGTGGCGATTTCACTTCTTGGTGCATTGCTATGCATTTGCCGTACACCTTCAATTTGTCCACTACGCCTTAATCCTACATTTGGTAGAGAATGAACCTCTGAGGTAGAACTCATGGAGCCTAAGGGAAAAAAAATTAGTATGATTAAGTTCAATTTAGAGACCCTTTTCCATTAGTTTTTAACAGGAAAAAAGAATCACTACCAGGGAAGGGGAAGGGAAAGAAAGGCAAAGCAAAAGAAATATATTTCTAATTTCTAATGTTTACTAAATAAATATAAAAGATACACATATTTTGAACTTTAGGTCATTATTCTTCAAAACACCATAGTTTTGGCAGCTTATTACTGCACTCTACAGGTAAATTATTTGTTTCATCATTTCTCTACTGTTGGAAGTTTTATTTCAATTTTTAAATCTTTTACTTAAAAATAAAATTTCTGCTTACCTCTACTTAAACGACTGGTATTACCAACTCCTGCTTCACCAGAACGTCTCAGGTCTTGCTCTTGCTGTAGTCTCTGAATCATGCTGTCCAGTGGACTAATCTCTTGGTTTGCTTGCTGACTTAAAACTTGGTTCAAACCTAAGTAATATCACACAAAATGCTAAGGATATTTTACTTATTATTCAAATCGTTTGACTCATCAGCAGCCTCACTTAATAAGCCTCACTTATTAAACAGAAAATTTGCTTGGGTTTAAAAAAAAAAAAAAAAAAAATCAAACCTAAAACGACTACTACAAATGATGAGAGAAAAAAAAATTCCATCAACCCTCATAATAATTCATTAAAAATAATAAGAATGATTATTTAAAGTATTTATTATGATTCAGACACTCATATTCCCTGTGGTAACACGGTTAGGTATGTATGTATTATTATTATTGTTATTTCCACTTAACAGACTAAAGAAACCAAAACAACTATTCAAAGGCATTCATCTAGAAGTGCCAAAGTACAATTTTCTACTTAGATCATAGTTTAAGACAATAAAACTTATTACTATGTCAATAAATCCTTGATTGTCTACTGTGTGCTAAGAATTACATCAAGTGTTAGGGATACAGTGGTAAATAAAAAGACATCGAGATCACTGCCCTACAAAGGGGCCAACTCTGTGATGGGAAAAGTAAACACTAAACCTGTTGATAAGAGCAGATAGTGAAAGATGTTAAAATAAGGAGGGTGATAAGAAAGTGGAAGAAAGAGAGATGGGAAAAACCTGTGGTGCTTCACAAGCCAGAGAAACCCTCCTTGGAAAGGGTTTGAGTTTAGACTTCAATTAACTATGAGAACCAGTAGAAAAAGGACACTCCAGAGAGAAGGCAAGGTGCCCGAAGGTTGACGTATGAAAGAACTTGGTATATTTTAACCCATCCTACTTTTCCAGCACCAAGTCTCACCTATGACAATCAAGAGGACCGCTTGGCTATTCTGCCCTCTTACCAGGAGGATATAGTACCTTTATATTTTCAAACTTCTGACCACAGTGTTTCTACTGTAAGCACAAACATGAGAAATTCTAACTCAGTTTTCAGGTACCAACTAAAATGACACCTCCATATTTCCTCTGAAATCTTATCAAATAAGAATCACCTGTTACCCTCTTATAGTTCTGTATCAATCTATCCATGTATCAGTATTCATCCCAACATATAAAATAAACCCTAATCTTGGTTCCTCAAAAGCATGGATTATCTCACTTAGTAGTCTTTAAACCTAGTACAATGCTAAAAGAAATGCAAAATATATATGATTATGAAAAACATTGCCATGAGAGTAGAAAAAGGTACAAATACTGGATGGGCGTAAAAGATTTGATCGGGTCAGAATTTCAAAGTGGGCTTAGTCTGGGATAAGAAGACACTAAGGATATTCTAAAATGAAGCAGCAGTAGGAAAAGTACGTGTATTAAGAATATGTTATTTCATTTTCTAAGAGAAAACTGTAATCCAAAGGATAGAATAACCTATCCAAAGTCATGAAAGCAGACTGCAGTAAAGTCAAAGTGCCTATACCTACTTTCTTGATTTGCTGCTGGGAAAACATTGTATTTCAATATTGATGAGTAATCCGATACAACTCAAGTTACAAGGAAGTACATTTAAAGTGTACTATCAGGGTTCAATGTAACAAAACTACAACCAAATCAATTACTATAACAGACATACATCTATTTTTAGCTAAATCTATGGGATTTCTCAACAAGAATTTATTTAGAACTAGATTTGCCAACAAATTTAGCTTATAATGATGAGAATTTTTTCAAAAAATACTTTCCTTTGGTTCTGTTTCTACATTAATTTCATACTTGATGTGTCTAAAATGACAGAAAAGGTGTTTACTCTGAATTCTGTTCATTAAATCACTGAAAAAAAAAGACCTAAGTTCTCTTGTGGCACAACACTAATAAATACATCATTTTTGAGATCATGCCTGCTTTATATTCAGATTATTGTGGAAGAACACTGAACTTAAGAGTCAGAAATAGGGTTAGTCTATGACACAATGCTGCTAAATTTTCATTTTTCTTTTCAACTCTGAGCATTGAAATAACAGACAGAAAGTTGGATTCTACTATGAAAGCTCTTTACAAAATGTTAAATAAGCAGCAATAATGATAATTATTCAATGAACATCCCTTTCCTTATTTTGCTGTGCCTGAAACCCCAGCCTGGGCACCTGTTTTAAGATCTGGGTACAATATGATTCATACCAATTATATTCCAAGGCACTGAAGGCATTCCTTATTTCAGTCCTATGACCAGTACTTCTCTACTACTAAGACTTCTCTAATCTATATCCTTTGACTTTTCAAATACTGGTTTTTCTTAAGTTCTTTGAGTTCATGCAATGTTCATGTGCTGAGACATTTTCACATACTCCGGATATTCTAGCTGCATTACTCTCTACAAGTGGCAGCAGGAGCAGTTCCTCTAATACTTTCCCTTTCTCTCCATTCTAAGTGGACATATATAATTTTATACCAAATCCCTCTAAGAAAAACAAGATGGGTCTGCTATAGTGCAACAAGATTGATTTTTCTTTTTTTTGCTACCAGGGACTGAACTCAGGACCTTGCGCTTACAAGGCAGGCATGGCTCCACTGAGCTAAATCCCCGGCAAGATTGATTTTTCTGGGTTGCTTATAGGTGGTAAATTCATTGTTTGCTCATTAGAAAATCTAGAGTTCTGTCCATGCATGACACTAGAGTCTAAACCCTGAAATATTTCAATAAATATTTTTCCAGTCTGAAATATACCAAAATTCACATGACAAAACTGGTTTGTTTTTTTAGGGAGGGGGGTTTGAGACAGGGTCTCGCTATATAGTTCAGATTGGCCTTGAATTCACTGTGTAACCCAGGCTGGCCTCAAACTTGTGGCGATCCTCCTGCCTCAGCCTCCTGAGTGCTGAGATTACAAGAGTGCTCCACCATGCCTGGCTGGTTTAATCTTTATGAAGCTTCTTCATTATTTTTACCTAATAAATCAAGGCTACCATTGTTAAATAAGGTAAAGAGGAGTCTACAGGCCTCATCTCCACTTTAACTCTTATTCAATTCCTCAACTAACCTGACTTTCACACTTCATTGAACAATTCAACACTTTTCAGCTGTCTCTTTATAAACCTTTAAAAGTTGGTCAATTCTTAAAATAGTCTTCAATGCAAATAGATAATATACTTTTAGCTTCTCTCATATTACTGCTCCTTTTCATAACATTTATCACTATTTTAACTACGTATTTTTTCGTAACTGTATTAATTTATGTAACACAATCCATAAGAGTATAGACCATGTCTGTTTAATTTTCTACTGAATACCCATAGTTTATAGGGTCAGGGATAGACAATATTCTCAATAAATGCTGTTCAATAAATAGATAAGCTGACATCTTGTATCACATATGAGAATGTCTCTATTCATCCTCAGAGGTTATAAATTAATATGAAACAGAATTATTGCTTTAAATCTCCAATCTTGTTTATTCTTAAGCACTATTCAAAGATTAAGTATAAAGCAATACTTTTTCTCTAAACAAGTGAAAATAAAGCTTTATTAAACTAGGAATTTTTATTTTATTTATTTTTGGGTACTGGGGATCGAACTCAGGACCTTGCACTTGCAAGGCAGGCGGCAGGCGGCAGAACCACTGAGCTAAATCCCCAGCCCTAAACTAGTAATTTTTAAAAGATTTCAGTAGAAAAGTAAAATCTGGTTGTCTATGAAAATGAGCACCTACCTGAGGAAGTCACTCCCATCTGAGGGATGAGCTGCTCTTCCCTGCAGTTTTCACGCCCAGGAACTAATCTCTGGTATCTGGATGGATGAGGGTTACCATCAACATCAACCAAAAAAGGGGGAGGCATGAGATGAGGTGCCTGCTGGGTCTGTTCATCTAATACAAAATTGTTGGCATCACGGATAAGGGGCCGATAATCACTATGAAAGAACATCTGATCTGCTATCTGTAGGAAGAAAGACCAATAGAAAATGAAAAGCTAAAACTTTATCATTATAAAAATCAACATTTTTAATGGAAAACAAATATTTTAATGGAAATTATGGTATTAAGCAACAACTTAAAAAGTACTCTGGAGCTGCAGATGTAGCTCAGTGGTACAATGCTTGCTTGCTCAGCATCCATGAAACCTTAGGTTCAATCTTTAAGATCATAAAACAAAAAACAAAAAACTTGGTATTTTCTACATTAAATGTTATGATCAAAAAAATTACTGCTTTCAATCTTCTTAAGAATAAAGAAAAGATTTTATGTATGTACAAAGTAAGTTATTCCACTTTAGGCAAAATGGTAAAAACAAATTTAGGCACAAATCAAAAAGATTTTTACTTTCACTGAGCTACCATACATTATCTTTAAACCTTAGGCATATACTAAGTATGCTTTATGTAATTTTTATTGAGGATTAAACTCAGGGTCTCATGCAAGTTAAGTACTTACTCTATTACTGAACTACACTAGTTCCATAGTTAACATAAAAACATGACGAACTTTCAAGAACTCAAATTTAGATTCCTTTAAGGAGCTAAATTATTCTTTCTGAAATATACAGATTTTTAAATAATAAGACTTGTTATCTAGTTACAGAAAAGTTAGATTTAACAACTATTTCCACCCTACTTTCCTAAAATATAATTCTTGAAGCTCTGATTTAAAAAATGTTGATTCTCACCCACTTCTCAGAAATACAACCCTGAAACACCCACCAACTTACAAAATAGTAATAATAAGATGATGTGTATTTATTATACTCTACCTTGTCATATTTACTACTGGACCCAAAGCCAAAAATTAAAAGATGTCCATGAGAGTCTGTGCATGCAAAATGCTGGCCATCAGGAGAGCATTTGCAGTCAAATACTGCACCATGTCCTTGGCCTTCAATCTGAAATATATTTAACCAATAATCAGAATATTGCCATTAAAATATTAAGTAACTGGTTACTATTGTTACTAGAACTTTATGATAAAAGATGTATAAGTATACATCCCAATGAAGTGAAAGATTAGGTATAACAAGCATAGTACAATAAAATTTGCAAATATTCAAGAAAAGTGTCAGATTAACAGCCTTGAAAAACGAATTCTATTTGTCCACAGACCAGACACAATTCAAGAAATAAAAGAACAGCCATCTCCCCCACCCATAGAATTCAGCTTCACATTTTTAACCCAGATTTAAAATGTAATTGAGCCATACAGTCCATCTGTTTTATTCATTCCTGTCCTTTTGGCAAAGGCTAACAACACGAAACAACTGTAGCAATCTTTTGATAACTCTTGGAAGTAGTAGCCAGAGATCACTGCTCATAAGACACTTTTTTTTTTTTTTTGGGTAATAAATTTCCTAGTGGTCTGACTCATCTTTTAAATGGTGAATTTCAAAGGTTAAAGAAAAGGTTTTTTTTACCTGATAATTGCTTTCTGTTTTCCAGTTCCATTAATCCAGAACGAATGGGTTTCTCCCTGCAACCTGTCAATCAAACAGAGGTGGCCAATCACCACTCTGAATTTTTTGCTCTCAGTGTTTCTTCACACTATGTTCCAGTAGAAAACTTCTTTAGCAGTATTCTGAAAGAGGTAAAAATTCTACCCTATCTAAAGCACATCTAGGGACTGAATTTCAGAAACAACTAAAATAGGGAGTTGACTCCCTAACAAATAACAGCTAAGGATGATTTTTCAACAAATGCGATTGGATTTCTGGATTAGCAGAATCGGAACACACACACATTATCAGGTAAGAAATACCTCCTTTCTGTTCCGGTATCCACTGATCTAGAACAAACTGAGTTCTTTAATAATATTCCAGGAAATGCTTGGAAAGAGAAGTGGTAATTTTCTTTCTACAGAATTAATCTGGCATAAAGATGGATGTACAGTTCACTGAATGCAAAATAAGTTAATTAAAACTCAGAAGAACAGTTGGTTTCTCAAGGAAGACTGATTCAAAGAGAAAAGTATCACTGTAAAAGGAAGGAACCTTCCTAAGAAGTTACAAGGCAAACAAGATTGCCTCAAAAAGATAACTAACTTTTCCTTTGGCTAATTTTAAGAGATGAAATGTACATAACAGTACTAATGCTGTTCTGGATGGAGATAATGGATCATCATTTTCTTCAAAATGTTAATCATGTTAAAGAAAACTAGTAAACTTCTCTAGGGGCTGTGTACAAAAATGTACCCCACATGCAAGAAAATGGACAAGTGGAATAATTATTTTTTGGCTGGAGTAAAGTTGGAGGATGATATAATAGCACAGGAAGGTAAATGATTTTAAATCTACTTTAGAACAATTCAAAAACAAGAAAAAACTATTTTCTCAGATTACTGTAAAGGCATTAGTAGCCACACAGCTTAGCACAGGCTAAAAATGAGAGAAAAACTACAAGTAGAAATGTCAGGATTCAAGTTTTTAATTTTCAGTGTTTTAAACTGTTATAAGTAACTGCACAAATAAAAGTTACCTCAATAAAAGTTTTACATCACAAATATCAAACTTAAAAAAAAATCAAAATTAAAGAGTTGGAACTATCCTAGCCATGTGTTGTTAAATGATTATCTGTTTACTCAACCTTTTAAAGAGAAAAGGCAAAAAGGCAACTACTTTATATAAATTTACTAAGGCTAGTAAATATTTTCAGAATTATATCACACGTCTAGGTTTATAATTTTTAAACTACATTACTATAGAGAAAGAGATGTGAAAGCAGTACAACTCTGTACTGCCAAGGAAATCTAACAGATATTCCTACACATGGTATCTCCTTCCTGTGATGTTTAACCAAACCTTGCTCACAGTTTTCTTAGGGACTGATGGTGGTGGTGGGGCTAATTAATTTTATACTAAATGGTATTTATAAATGTTGGCACATTTACAGGTAGTAGATCTCTAGAATACTCTGGGAAAGCTGGAATTTATAAAGTTACCCCAAAAGTAAAGAAAAATAGTAACCGTCTTTACAATCACTGTGTATGTTCTATAGAACATATTCCATTGTGAATATAGAATAGTACTAATTTTCTTAGTGTAAGGAATCTGGTAACTCCAGTGACTTTTATACAATGCAAGTTAAATTATACTTCAATCATATCAAAAAGTACATTAATGAATTAATCACTGTTCACTGATGAAGGCATTAAAAAGACATTCTTTACTCATAAATATATCAGAAAAGATACCTAATTAACCTTATTAATTGAAAACTCAAGTTTACCTTCCTTAATGGCTCCGCAAATGCTCCTATCTATAAAATGCAATAATAGGCTTTCCCAACAGTTAATGATGCAAAACAGAAAAATATTTTACTTTACTCTTTATGTAACTAAAAATATCCTATTTTTATGATGTATCTATGATTAACAAAACCCAGCAGAAATGAAAGTTAAACATCTTCCTCTGAAAAGTATTTCATCTTTTAAAATCAGAGTCAAAGTATTTATGAGTAAGAGTTCTCAAGGAAAAATTTAATAAAGGCACCATTTAAATGTATGTGTGTAACTGAAAACAAAAATGCTGAACTTGAAAAATCGAAAAAAAAACACCTTTTCTATCCACATGGAAAGTATATGGGCCTATTATAAAGTTAAATGTTCTGCCTAACAAGAGAATGAGTGAAGAAAAAACTTAATATCGTAAACAGCTTATACTAGCACTCACTACATGATATATTGAAATAATTACAAAACAAATTAGTAATGATAAATTTTCAAAGCAATAAGCTTTAAAGTATTCTGCTAATAAAATCAAGCATGCTTATTATATATTATTTGGGACATATATAAAAAAAGACCAATAATAAACTTCATTTACATGAAATGACATTAAGGAACAGCTGAGACAATTCATGACATAGTATTAAATATGTTTTGTTTTGTTTTTTTAAATCAGGAAATGAGAGGATCACATTTTAAATAATGATTCCCTTACTGGCAAGTTCTCATACTGACTAAAGAAGTCTGGAAATATTAACAAGTAAAGATTCTGGAAAATTTATACTGAACTTTAAAAAGTTACATACAAACTTTGGGTTCAGAGTTTTGGTGATGACAATTATTAAATTTAAGGAAGAATACACAACTTAATTTTTGTGAAGCAGAAAGATGAATAAAGGAGACACAAGAATGAGGTCTAAGAACAAAGAGATCTCTTCCCCAATAATGGGGAAATTACCTAATCTCTCTGTAGAGTGATGAAGAATAATGACATGATCTTTAGAGTCCTACCCAGTTCTAAAATCGTACTGTGTGATGTTTGGGAAGGCTGGCTGGAAGAACTGGACAAACAGAAATGAAGTTTATTAAAAGCACTAAAATGCAGACTGAAATTATAGGATTTAACTTCTTTCAATTGTGAGACATACACACATGTGTACGTGTGCATATATGCATGTATGGAGCCGAATATGAAAGCTGTACTTCTGGAGGGGCTCAACTCAAAGGGGGAAGATTAAAAACTTTGCTGTGTTAGGCAGAATCAGCTTACAGAATTATTTATAACTTTTTTCTTTTACCAATTAAAGTAGTTTTCCTTACCCCTACTCAATTTCATATCTAAAATACTACTACTAGCAACCAAACTATTGATCTCAGCTTCTGGACTATCCTATAAAGTAATTTATAGCATCATCACAGTGTTCATTATTTAAGCCTACAAGATCATTTGAGGCCACTGATGATCGACCTCAATTTATTTCCATCTTATCAGCCAGTATTTCCAAAATATATTTTAAGTGAATTTTCTAAATTATGAATGTCTTAATTCGTACTTTCTTTATAATGTTCCTTATAAAAATTCATTTTAACTCAATACCTATTTACATTCTGAGACATAATTCTTCCACTCAACAAGGCTTTGACTATTCACTCTGAACTGATCTTTACATCTTTAAGGAAGTAGCAATTGTCTACAGCAATTATTTGTTCTTATCTTGCATGCTACCATATTAATCTTTTCAGGTATTTTCCCAACTTACTATAAACTGGCTGAAAAACAGCTATCGTTCTTTGTGGTGCTGACATTTTGTGTTTCACACAAAATAAGTACTCGAACACTTGCTAATCAAAATGTCTTCACCTGCATGCTCTCATTGTATATAATTTTCTCTTATAACTATGAAATACAATCTTGCATAGCAGGTGATGGAGTATATGAAAGAAGCACTACATGAAAGTATTTCATCAAATAAAATACAGTAAGAGAAGTTAGAGAGAGATTTACAGCAAAAAATCTTAATACATGGTTATGGTACCACGATATAGACTAAAAAGAGAAAATTCTTAAGAATACCAGAAACTAGAAACAAAATATAATTAAGCTTTATGATCAGAAGATTGAAGGCAAGTCCTTACCCCAAGAAAATGAACAAAAGACAGGAAGCATTCAGAGTCCTTTTAACACAGAATATGTAGACATAAGACATTTATCTTATTAGCTGATGGATGGATGGATGGAAGAAGATAGGTAGGTAGGTTGGTTCATAAGAGATAACATAGTATGAACTATTACCTATTTTGAACTTCTCTTTCTTCCTTTCTTAGATACATGCAGCTACCACTGTCTAAAAACTAAACTACAGGTCACACTGAGAACATGTTGATGTCAAAAGAAATAAATGCATGTGCAAAAATTCTGAATGGTAGATTGGCAGCCTCTGCTCATTTGGAACGTTGCAAGGAGAAATATATTATTCTGGATTAGTGGACACTGGAACATTTTTTTTTAAATCTCTTAAGTAAAAGAAACATTAAGAGAACAATTATAAAAATGAAGAAAACTTTAATTAAATAAAAACTTATTTGGAATTTACCCATGAAACAACAAAAGTAAAGCAAAAATCGAATTTAGTAAAACCACTTTCTAATAAAAGACATACTGTAGTCTTC